ATATATATCACCTACTTGCTATACATAACGCGCTCTATTTGCGCTCATTTGACACGTTTCCACAAGTATATAATCATCATCATTATTCATATCATGTTATTTGCGTTAGTTTTTATTGTATTACAATAAAGTCTGTTCCTATTGTATATTATTAGTAATATCATTGTTGTTATTATTTATATATATATATATATTAATCAGTTTGTTTATGATTCAGCTTCTTCATTACAATAATAACTGTTATGCTCATCATTCATCATCATCATCATCATCATCACCGTACTAAATAAGGCTGCTGTTTCGCTTAATGGATGTATTATTTATATATCAGTATGATGTCCATTTGTTTTGGACTTGTCCACCAGCTGATCCGTATTTTTTTTCTATCACCTGTCATAGCCGCACGCCTGTTAACAGCTTCGGGTCCTTCATCAACGAATATGTTCTTCTTTTGTGGGCGATAAAATCGTCTATTGTGTTCGGCATTTGGCCGCGACGTCGTGCATCAGGAACAATTAGTTGAGTTTTCTTATTAGAAGCCTCACTGTTGTACTGTCACTAGCGGATCCGCCCATTCAGGTGGGCCGGTCGGGGCCGGAAGTCACGTTGCTCGGCACGCACGGTGCCCAGGAAAGCGCGCCAATGTTTTAACCATTCCAGCCGGTGGATTTAGCGACGGTGTGAGAACCTAAGACATCGCTGTTACTTATCACCGTTTCATCGACGGGCGACTTAGCCCCGTGTGACAATTTTGGTATTGTACCTGTGACACCCCTCCCCGGCCAGCAACGATCTCAGCCATTTCCTCGCTTTTCTGACAAGTCAATCAAACCCGGACACAGCAAAGTCTCGAAACTATGCTCTTTCGTTTGCTCTCTTATGTTAAATGCTTCTTTCGAACAAAGCAAAGGCGGGGTACGATTTGAAGCATCTCAAGCACATCCATAAATTTTGTCATTTAGTGGCTGCGTCACTGTCGTCAGGAAAGCGGCGACAAATATCTTTCTGTGTCACAGACGCTTTCCGAATCGCTACGCGGGCGGGTCAAGTCAGGAACGTATTTTACATGAGTATAGTTCGCCTATAGAATAGTACAAGGAAATGCTCTTTCAATTGTATAGGAGTGTGCTAAGGGCAACTCGCGAATACGGCTACACTCAGTTTTTCAAAAATCGGCTGCTCCTATACCTCCAGCTTATGGCAATCCTCGGACATGCCAATAGGTATACATAGTATGTGCACTGATTTATCTCGAGACGAACCCGTCTGCTTTTATTATCTTGTGTATTAATTTATTTGTGTACTAGTTGCGTGTCAACTGTTGCATCATTGCATTTGGCACGAGCTGCATCACATCTGCGAATGGGGTTGGTTTTCGTCAGATGGTCGTACTTGTGCCATGATCGACGAAGGCATCGAGCCATTGTCATCTGTGCTACTTCGCTCATCGAAGGCGTTGAGCTGCGACGAATGTGCCGAACCAAGAGAAGCCACGTCCAACGGTAACTCTGGTGGTGGTGGCGGCAATTGGTCGAAGAATGACGCTGACATACCTGGGGGAATTGGTGCAACGACTATGGCTGCAGGCGTCGGATCCTCGCCGAAATCCTTTGTCCCACTATCGCAATGATACATCGAGTCGAAGCCGTCCGCAGAGCTGTCATGCACTATGATTCCGGCTGGATTCTCTTGCCGCTGGATGGTCACAAGCCGACGACTGCTATTTGATGGCGATTTTGATGCTTCTATGAGGTGCAACGATGCAATGAAAGAAACGTGATTTGTGCGCAGACGTAAGGCAGAAATTGAGAACGCGTTCAAAAGGAAATTATCATCTGCCTGTGGCCTTTGTCGCTGTTCGTGGAAAAATTAATGGAAGCTTTAATCGAATCGTCGGTGTGTACAATAGGTATAGTAAGTTATCATAAAGAAATAGCGCAGCATTGAAAACCGACCTTTTCGTGCGGACGTCGAGTTGTCGTCTTCAGCGGCAAAGGCTTTTCTCGCTAGAATCGACCCACTTCGCTGAACCTCATCTCCGTCCTTTGCCTCTAAACCCGAAGGCGTTTTATGAATACTGCTGATGGAATTGTTGGAGTTATGCGGGTTGGTTAGCGATTTGGTCAAGATCGTAAGTGAAGGTCTCCTTACAACGCAGGCTGAGAGAGAACGGCGGCTTACGCGGCAGCGCAACAATTCGCCGTCCTCCTCCAACATGTCGTCCTGCCAATAAATTAAGAGTTACTTAGGTCTGAGGTGTTCGACACAGTTCTCAAAAAAACTTAAACGCAAAGTTATCCGTGTAAGTACTGTAATCAAGAGGTATGCGTCAAATTAGGCTGAAAGAAGAACCACGACTGAAAGAAGAACCAACCTTACTGCTAGTACAAGGATTCATATTTTCATAGGTACTTACAGATGACTCATATATCTATTTTCTACAAAGAAGGACAATGCAAAATTCTGCTATGTAAAAGAAGACCTTTGATAGCTTTACTTGAGTGCCAAGTTGGTATTTACTAAGATTTTTGTTATTGACGTACTTCGCATCCTGTGCCCGGTGAAGCACCTTTCACTCTCTTAATTTCGCCAAGAATAAGTGTGAACTGCTCCCGAAGCGTTGACAAGCGTAACTCCATTTCGCGGCGCTCTTCGCCAGCAGGTTTTGCAACTTCTAATTGCTCTTGCAACTCTCCAAGCTCCACCTGGACACTCTGGAGTCGTTGGTGCAACTGTCCTCGTCGTAGTTGTGGTAAGGACATGCAATGAAGTAAGTTGAAAATATTATGTTTTAAACGTTTAGCCCTTAGCAACTTAATGCAACGATGTGCTTAACGAATGCCGTCACGTTTATGTCGGTCGATTCCTATGCAGTGAAGAGAAATAGTCTAAATAAATAAAGGCAATGGAATAGTAAAGCGCACGTAAATTCGGCCCGCACCTCTTGGATATCAGATACGGATCCTTCAGGAGAAAGTTCATTTTTGGTAATTGATGTTTTAACCTCCCCACTCCGGCCACGCACCAGCTGCGTCGTCGGGTGAGTGCGTTGTGAGCCTGACGCTAGCGACGAGATGGTCGCCAGTCCTATGGTTAACACATGAAACAATGCACTCAATGAAAGTAGCAAAAGAGAGAATTGATACTATTTTCACTAATACATATCGGACGATAGCAACGGAGGGACAGCTAACAAAAATATCGCACTACTGCCAAAAGAAGGGTAAGCCGTACATATAAATCTATAATTTCTTTTTCACACTGTATCTTTTTAACTGTTGTCTAACTCAACTGTAGTTTTTATTAGTTCGATCTTAATATCAACAGACAAAAACTTTAACAGACCCGTTAATTGAAATTTTTCCCCATACCTTGCTGTACTATCTGACTCTGCTGTACGTAACAGCCACTCTTCGCCTTCGAATGTTCGCCAGGAATGCGACGTGAAGCCAGTAGCTCACATAAGTGCTCAATCTGTAAGCAAAACATCACAAAATTATCATCACAATTAACTTCATTCATATATATATATATATATATATAGTATCATAATGTACTCTAGAATTGATAGTTTTCCAACTTCAAATGCAATAACTCGCTAGTGTTGAAGCCTTTTTTCAGGAAGCCCTTAGTGATATTGACTTTTCCTCACATTAGGGCTACGCCCAGCCAATTTAAGCATATGCCACTCAATTCAAACCTAGTTTTTCAAGTAAATACTTAATAAAAAGAAACTGCCAAATTCTATTGTTCCATATTAAATGCTTGATCTATAATGTCGCTAGCTTGTTTATGTTTAACGTATTTACCTGTTTGGCAAATAATTTTATCAGCGTGTACGGCTCGGGCATGAGCGCCCTCTCCGCACTCACGCTAATCTGAAGACTCTCGCCGTAGCTGAGAAATGTGACACAGACAGGAATATCGGGCGAACAGCCCGTGAAAGCGACCATATTGTTGATTCTCTTCTGGTCCAGGAAGACGAACTCGAGCGGGCCGGGCATTGAGTTCACCAATGCAGTAACCTACGTAATATGAAAAATGAGCAATGATTTTCGTACAAATCGTGTTGTTGGAACGTAATAAATTTGGTTTTTTTTTTATCTAATGAAAAGTGAATGGATTCGCTCGAACTCGAGTAACACCTTTTGCATCATTCGGCTTAATCCTCCGATCTTCTCGTATCTGTTGACATTGAAGTTTCAGGTCCTATTTTAAGGAATTCGTCCCACTAGGTTTTAGAACCTTTTTCGCTGTTAAATGTATGCTAACGAGGATCAGAAAGGGTGATGGTCTACTGATGCGAGCTCTGGAGAATACGGTGGATGTAAAAGGATTCTCCATTGACAGCTTTGCAGGACGCTTTGCACAGTTTTTGTCATGTACCGTGTAGCATTGTCATGGGGAAAATAGGCTACTGGGCTACTAGGTGGGTTACATCGATGTGAAGTAATCGCCCGCGACCGATATTCTGGGTAGAAAAATATTGTGGTTGCATATTGCTCAGTGCCGAACAAAACGCTCAAAGACGATGACAAGCCGTATTTTTTTTATATTCACTTAGTTCATGGATTATCGAAGCTCCTAATTTTTGAGTGAATTCCATACACCTAAAATGCCAATATATCAATAGTCATATCAGCGCAGTACATATTTTGCCTAATTCACGAATAATTTGCCAGTCGTATTCCTTCAAAAGTGACTTATATCGGTCCTTATCGGCTTGAAATAGCTGGCCGGACCGAGACGTCGGCATTTTCCTATTCCAAGATGCCACTTTTGAACTTCGAAAACCAGTTTTGAACAGTCCTTACGGTATACTGCATATCCCGTGCTGCGTCGGCAGCTGTTCGACCTGCGCAACAGGCAAAATAGGGTAGGTTTCGAAATGCACCTCTTTTACCGAGAACCACCATCTTTGATGCCTGTACTCGATATAAAATACAGTTCATTGCACAATTAAGTTCTAACGGGGTTCGAGGAGAAGCGCTGTCGAGTACATAAAGTAAACAAAAAGAAGCGGTAAACGGGAAAAGGAATATTGAAAACATTGAAAGGGCCCGTGATCTAGTCTAATATATTTAGACTGCACTAGCATGAAACATACACGTATAAAAATAGCTTTAGGGTTTACCTTTCCTTTAAATCTGCCTATACTGTGCAAATATAGTAGCCCGCCTTAGGGACCTACCGAATTTAAGTTTAACGAGAATGGTCCCCCACCAGAATTACGGTAGTATCGCCTACCTTTCGGTTGTACCAGGATAAAATACAGTGTGCCCATCGATAGGGAAGCATAATGAGCAGAAACTGCAAAAAGCCAAACATGGTCAGGGGATCGGAGGAGCATTTCAGGTTGTCCATCTCTTGGCGAACGGCCCATAGCCGGGGGATGGCACCTTCTGTGCTCGTCGGTAGTTTGATGAGGCACGATGAAAAACGAGTACCCAGTGGTGCACCGGCAGACGAGTCAGTGTGCACACCGCCCCCCGAAGACGACATCGATAATGTCATTGGCACGAGTGGGGATGACACCGGATTCGGCTCCGGCCGCAAGTCTACCGGAAGGTTGACCTACCGATTCATTATAGAAATATTAACGTTTATGCGTGTACGAAGCAAAGAGTAGCTAGCATTTGCTGCTTTTTAATATTATTTTTCATTATGATTGCCTCACAACCATGAACAGCTTTTTTTACGGTAAATCGACGCTAAAAGTGGACGAGTGTGTCATGAACTTGATAAGATCTCGTATAATTTTCGTAGCTACTGTTAATTAGATTTCGGAACACTTCTAGCTTAAAGAATCTCGCCTGCCTACCTTGATGTCAGGCGGATTACTGATGCCCTGCTTCTGCATGTAGCTGCGCAAAGCGCCACTGATAGCAGTGAGAAGGACGTCATTTAGTGTGCTACGGGTCACCCTCTTTATTCGCATCACCTGCTCAAGAGAAAGGTCTCTGCTCCACGCTATGGACCTCTCACCTGAAATGATGTTATGCCCCCGATACCTTGTTCAGTTCAATTGAATCTTGTGCGACGCTTTAAGATATATATCAGGTTGCATTTACCGCGTAGATTTTACCACGTCAAGTCCATCTATCCTCATTTTTAACGCAGCCCATATTCACACGGTATGATTATTAGATGAGTTCGACCGGCATCGCTAGCGTGTGCTAACATAATCATTTTCTTACATATATAGAATTACTCGCACAACATAATAGTAGCATCTCCTCGCTCATACTCACCTATAAGCTTATCGTACTTGCCTCTCCTAAATATATTACAATCAGGCTTGGATGTCAAGTTTAGGATGGCTGCTAGTGGCCCAATCAAGATGGCCTTTAAGGTGTTCAGGGCAAGATGGGAGCCTCCGAAACGTGGCTTAAAACGGCCACAGGAACGAGACTGAGCTCCGTCAGCTAGATGGTTGCATAGCACCTAAAGTAAATCGCAGAATAACAATCAAATGGGGGGCGCACATGACTATAAGATTGCAATACTTAACGAAGTATAAACCCGTCCATTAACCAAAAAGTCAATAGGCTGGATTACCTTGAGTAGTGAAATGCCGTCTGTGAGGACCTGGTGCACTCGCACAACGAGCACTGTCTCTTGGCCCCAGTTATAGTTGGACAAAACGCGGATATCCCACAAGGGCCGATCCGCTGCCATACCCTTAGACATTAACGTTGTCAGGTATGATGTTAGTTGCATGTAGTCCCGCAGAGGTTTGTCGTCTGCCAAAACGTGGCGCTCAATTCGAAATTCGTCATCATCTAGCCAACAGAAACCTCCAACCTGCGGTACGATCTAGAAGATATTGTATAACAACACAAACGAATTTTCGGTCAGATATATCGTTAAATTTGTTAACAAAACAAAATGTCAAATAGATAAGCAGATGCATCCTTATGAATTTTCTGGTAAAATTATCCCGGAATAGTTTCTGCCTCATGCCATCCCATTGTCTGTATGTGGCATACATCGTAGAGAAAATATTGTAAGGCAATAGAATTTATAGAGGATTATTTTCCTTAGAGTAATATCAGAAAAGATACGTCTGAATGATAAATGGACCGCAAGAAACCTTAGATTGGTGCCGTGTGGCTTCATAAGTCGATGTCATTAAACTTGGCGTTGTTGCCAAGGGTTTTTAAATATTCAAAGGTCGTTGGGTTCTGCCGCTTTCACCACTCGAACTTGACAGCAGCATTACACGTATACAATTGAATAATGTACATTTGAAGCTAGTGTATATAATAAATGCGACAATGCAAACCTTTTTCATGAATCTGCGGAAGACTGGTCTACCCCGTTCATTGGTACGGTCCAGGATTCTGTCATGTAGATGGTTGGCTAGAGTCGCCGCGTCGAGACCGGGCTCCATAAAAATGAGACAATGGCCAATGTTGTGGTTGAAATGAGCATCATGTAGCCACAAATTATCCATGGGGCTGACGAAGCGCGGTCCTGTTGAACCCACGCCGTTTTCGTCCTGGTGCTCTTCGCACAAGACACCTTCTTGGCACGCAGCGCAGCTCTTGCACGTATGCCTAGTGCAGAACGCCAACGGTAAAAGTAAAAGCATGCCAGCGACCAAGGGAAGGCCCGTTAAAAGGCTGACACTCATTAACAGTAACGAACTGAGTATTGACGCTGTGGCGGACCGCTCTGCAGGATGTTTGAGCAAAGCGATTGGAGCGCTTTGTAAGTATCTGTACGGACAAAGATATAGACAAGAGAGTAAAGATCGATAAAACTAAATCAATAGACATTGTTCGACAAAATATTGTTAGTTCTTGAAGAATCGTCGATCTGCTATAACGTCTAGTCTATTCATTTGTGACAAATTAATGAATTGGATAATTATTTCTAGAGTTTTTTTTAATTTGCTTACTTCGGAACTTTCTTCTTCTTTTTGCGCCGTCCACGGCCCTTCTTTTTCTTCCGTTTGTTGCTAGCTAAAAAGCCTTTTGACGAACGGTCTTCGATGTCTAAACCTCGCTCCAACTGTTGTAACTTCTCCTCCTGTAGGATTGCCACTGTTTTGATGTCTAAGCCTATTGCAGTTGAGCTGTTAAGTTTATTGTTCATGATGAGCTCACACATCCTGAGATCGTGACAGATAAATAGATCAATAGATAAAGTTAGTTGGAAAAAACGCGCATTACATAAATTTAATGATAACCGTACTTTCATTAAACACACGTGAATCGTATAATGGACAACTTTCGAAGTTTGACTTTTCTCTTAGCAAGGACCGTATACTCAATTGACGGAGGCTAGGTTGCCACATCCAAAACCAAATATGAACCTGGAAAATAGTTTCAGGAAATATGTGTGATAAGGGTTCACTTGGCTACTAGAAATAACTTCTTCAAGCATGAGGGTTCATGGATAAATTTTTTTTTGACTTCTGGCAGACCAATCTTACTCAAAAAAAATGTGCAGAACCTTTAAATCTTATGAAATTTGAACTCACCCGTCTCCAGCAAGCGATCCGATATGGTGCCCGCGTCCAGCTTCGTCGTGATTCGCGTTAGCGTTCATGGCACACTCGGTCTTATTGCAAATAAGCTCCGAATCCTCGGAGGAAGACGAAGATCTATCAGAATCGGAATCTGACGACGACCCAGAAAGATGTTTTGCGAGGCTCTGGAACAGGTAAAATCGATATATCGATTTGAAAAACCACCCTGGATTCAGAGTGGGAGTACCATTATCACACTGTGTTAAAAGGCCTCGACATTAGTTGGACCAGGTCTATTCTGTATCAAAAATGCTTGCGCCGGACATACGCTTAACCCATCTCTTCTTAAGTATGAGACCCATTTTTATAGCATTTTTTGGCAGGCCATAAACAAATCAGAATTTCCCATTCAGTTTTATACCTTACTTAGTTCAGCTTGGTTATGAACTCTTGCAGCATTGTTCTTCTCACGCGCGCGGGTTTACGGCGCATAAGCACTATAAGCCGAGATCAAATCAGTCAATACGTATCTTCTCACTACTCGAGACGAAATTAAAGATAATAGTTGGTCATGAAGGCTCTGCGAGTAGTTTCACGAATAAAATTTGCAGCAATTTCTCCTTAATCAGGATATGGCACGCCATAGTGCACACCCGTTTTGTGTAAATAAAGCTGTCATTCAATTATGTATGGTATGCATGAGCTTGCCAACTATCCATCTGCATCAAGATCGATCAAAACCCTAAATTAGAAGCCCAGTTCTTATCCAGCACATATAGTTACTACGGCGACTTGCTAACACATACTCCTTTGATATCGACGAGACTGTGCCGATGCCGTCTGTGAGCTCTTCGATGCTGCGGCCTCTGATGCGAGTGTTGAGCGTGCGAATGTTGTCTCCTATGTCCATGCGGCGGTAGTGCCATGTTCACGGTAACAAAAACCGACGCTGGTGGTACGGGAGGTGCATGTGGTTGTGGAGGCAGAGCTCCCACCCCCACATTGCCAGAGACTTCATCGATCGTCTAGTAATAAATAACAAATAATAGAATTTAACGTAGATCACATCGAAATCGACTATTCAGTATACAATACAGCATATCCAATCCGGTATCTGTATAAACGGCCGTGTCCTGAACTCGGACATATTGTATGACTAGATGTTCCCGCTAACCAAATTCTATGTAGAAATTTACACATAACAGGGCTCCCTCGCAAGTAATAGTAGTAATCAAAGTAATAAAATGCCTCTTTTTAGCTGGGTTGAATAATAATAGTCGTGAGCGTTTCTCGCTCTTTGTTTTATCCGTTGCACCTGAAAGACGGGTGGTTGAGCTGGCAGCGGTGGAGGTGCTCCTGGCGGAAAATCCTTGTCCTGGGCTCGGTTAATCAAATTATTGAGCAAGGTTCGTTCCCGGCCCTGAAAGCATGCACACTTGATTGTTGAAATTGCCAATCCGATGGATCAACTCGTCTAAGAAAAAGAGAAAATAATGACTATCTTGGAAAAAAAAGATTATTTACAATTTTTATCTACTTCTGCCCTATCTAATTGAATATGTGGATTCGAAGTCTCATACTGATTCAGTGAAGTACCACTTCAAATGGCTGGTTCCTTCTAGCGTAAAACGAAGTGTATCTAGGCCCAGTTTTGACACTGGAGCATCACGTATTTCTGAGCTTAGTAAGCGAATACGTTACCGCTTGATCACGAGGACCTTGCCCCATCTGCATCCTTTCCTTGTTTACCTATTCAAATATAAATTTATATATACATATAAATGTGCCCATTTATTGCTATTACCTGAATGAGGTGATCAACTTCGTCGACGTCCGCTTCATCGGCGTTGATGAATAGCTCTTCCGATGAGCGTGTTCCAGCCACACCGCCGGCGCCGGTGCCTCCTCTGCCGGGACTTGTCAAACCGCCGTGCTCCAACCCTCCAGCGGCCTCCGGCTCCGCCATCCCCGGTTCCGAGTTCACCGACAGCTGTAGAAATAGTCAACAATATTTGTAGTAGCGCTAGCTTAACTTAACAGCATAATGTCATATCGTATCATAACGCCTGAATTCACATCAGACAGTAATGTCAGTTAGCTAAAACCAATGGAAAGGCATTTCTCTGCGATTATCATTATGGCTCAGTAACAATAAGGCGGATGCAAGAAGAATCTATGCGACGCTATAGAGAACTGTGTAGGTCGTAGAGACCCAATGGGTAAATAGCGATGCAGTGAATCGAATTAAGACCTGCTCCACTCCTCGACTGGATCTATTCATGATCGCAGAGCCAGGAGACGCTTGTACGACAAGTGATTATTACCTGCGGTAAACCCAGCGGTAGTTCCAATTGTCTTAGCAGAAGTTGCTGTAACCGTGTGCGGAATTAGAAGCATTGATGTAGAAAAGTTGTTCTCAGACTTCGTCATATATTGTCATACTCTCTACAGCGAACTGACCCGTAACGTTTGTGTAACCCTAAGGCGTTACCGAGCCAATTATATGGAAGGTATATGATCCATCGCTTAATTCGGTCAACAGCAGCGGCGGCTGAAACGGCTTTAGCTTTGCCGTAATTACAACGCGTGTTAGATTAGGGGGCAACATATTTAAGAGAAACAGTTGGGACATAGCAGAATGTGTGTTGGCCCAGCTTAATCAAATACAAGAACGCTAGCAAACACTCGGTCCCGAATACAATGCAGAAACCACTCGAAGTCGTTCCGAGCGGCTCAAGCGGGTATCTTCAGTTAGTTGGTATCACCTGAACGAAACGAATACAATCTATGGACTTACACAATATAGGACTGTAGGTATGTAATGTTATTTCTCTTTTAGATGATAATGCTTCCGTTTCTATAGCTACTGCTACCGCCACAAGTGATCACCCACGCTCTGTCGTCCCTTGCTGAGCGTCACCTCAGCGTCGAGGATCCAGCAAATGCCGCTGACGACTAGGGGCGGAAATAGCTTTATCTCTCAGACTGATGCAAATGTTAGAGCGAGTATGCGCATAGCCTAGAACGAAAGTGTGACTTTGTCACGCGTGTACTACTGCTTCCATTAACTTATTTCTCTAACAAAAACGGAGAGGGTGAAATGGAACTGCGACGCAGTTAAATTTCTGCGACGATAACGACAAAGACAACAGTGGGAACGTAAGTGCTTGGGAAAGCTAAGCTAGTAATAATAATAATCATTATAATGGCGGCTCGTTTCAATAAATCTCTCATTTACCGAAATCGTTTTCGTATCGCAAAAACATTTCATTGGGAAATTAGTTGTTGTCATTTGAAAATTGCCTATGTCGGCAATAATCGTTTATAGCGCCGTTCTGAATTGCGAGCGATCATGTGATTGATTCGAAAACCGGAGACAAGTACCAGCGACACCAGAATTGAAAAAATACCACGCACTATTGGCACCAATAAATCATACAGAGTGTGTAAGTTGTTAAATAACCAAAATAACTATAGAGTCTAAAGCGGTGTTAAGATCATATTCATGCACACGCTCGCTGATTCCTGTCCTTTCGAAGTATTCATACACGTTTTCTCATCCTACATGCCTCTTTTCATCTATTTCAGGTTTTCTAGGGGCTGGGCCTAGCATCGGCTATGTCCACCTGTAGTTTATCTATCGTTATTATATAAAGTACAGTATACCATAACAAGCATGATCTCGCTCTTCTAAATACAGTCAACGGTAGATCTATAACGGCATATCATTTTACAGCATGTAAACAAACAGGATTTATCTTGTCGTATATTGTAGACCGTCTATGCGTTGGACTGTTACTTTTACTCTATCTAATGATAAATTAGGACAGTTCAACAATTAAAGCCGAATTCCATAATGCGGGATTCGCTTGCCCTATTAATTCCCATCTAAGGCTGTTACAAGTGACTCCCGCAGATTCTGAAATTGAACGACTTTTGAGTTACGCTCCACGGACGAAATTCGTTTGACACTTTTAGAAACTTATGAGGTTTATCCCAGTTGAAATGTGTTCAGAAAGAAAAACAGCCTCTTATTCCTGAAATCAACGTTCAGTGGTTAAGTCTTTGTATCTCGAAGGCGATAGAGGTGCAAGTACGTTAAGACGTTAAGCAAGGAGGCCCTAAGTGTTGAAAACCAGCGAGAAGGTAACCTTGTTGAGATTCGAATGACAAGAACGCATTGCCGAGATCGAGTAAGTTTTTCACAAAGGTAGAACTTGGCGTCTAAGGATCCTGTCGTCCATTTCACATGTAACGTATTACAGAATGATAACCTGAACGCTGAAAATTAAAAAAATAGGTAAAAGAAAAATGGGTCTAGCTAGTTGGAAGTGCGTGTAGTGTGTCCTACAAACATACTACACTATCAACTTCGAAAAGCCATAAATAGAAAAGTTACATATAGGAACGTGAATTGCAGGTATATAGCTGTCTATAAGTAACGAGCGTTCTGGAAAAAAGTGTGTAAAAATAGAGTAGAGTGCCTCTAACACATATTATAGGATCGTGGTTCTAGCCCGCCTAGTTCAAAAGTTAACCAATTTCAAAGTCTGCCGGATTCGCTCGTAACAGTCTAATAACGCTAACAGCAATTGCCAATTAAAAACATCTATAGGATAGCCTTAATCTAAGCCCCTTCAAAACAACCAGCAATAAAAGATGACGAGTTTGTCGATTGATTGATTGTAACGCACCTGAGACATGGCTGGCGACTGGTCCTCCAGCCTTAGGACAATCGATCTTCTCCTGTAAGACAGCGTGTGGCCGTGTTGAAGGCCTATATTGTGAAAGAGGCAAGAGCAAGTAGTTTCGCTCGGTGCATCAGACGGCGCCGACAAACGCCAATCTTCTATAATTAGTCATCCTGCTGTTTAACTGTAATGTAACAAATAAGAACGCAAATCAGAGTATGTTAGCACTGCGGACAAAGCACCAAATGGGTTTTTTGGCCAGAGTAAGGAAAATGTGTTGAGCAAAAGGGGCAGCTAAACAGAAAACTATCGTAGGTTGTAAAAGAAGATAATTTACAATTTTTTTTAACAGGTTAACGTGTAAGAAACGTTTTTGAGCCACAACCTCGGATGTTTGACACAGTGATGTGAGGCCTTAGCGAGCATTTTCTAATCGTACTATCCACTAACTTTACACGTTTCTCTGACTGTGGTTCGGTGTGGTACGACTCAACTCAGTCTGCACATTTTAAGCACATTCGGTAAAGCAACTGAGTGACAGTGATCAAATGCATCATAGCTAACCTTGTTTAAACGAAAAACGTAAATAACTGTGAAGTCTTTTTCATTGCCAGACAGTGGCAACAATGTGAAGGTAACCTACGTACGGTTAATAAGCATAAACCTCAATCTATATCTGATCTTGCGACTAACTTGAAATTAGTTTATTTTTCAAAAAACCTGTTCAAATGAATGTCGCAGACATAGCAAAGTAAGGAAATTTTTTTTGTCTTTTTAAGACATATTTTTGACCTATTAGCTTTTTTCCCGATTGTTTGTGAGACCACTTCCAGTTAAGAGTCGTCGTATGCCTGACGGTAGACATATTTTATCAGCGACGAAAAAAATTCCATTGCCACTTATCAGAGACTGACAGCAGAAGACTCAAGAGCAATTTGATAAGCAATGTTCCTGAGTGCAAAATTGACCCACACCACATATAGGCTAGCTGCGATAGGACAATTCACCGCAGTGGTTCGAAAAGCTCTATGTGCCCACATTGAGTTTTTCGAACAGGTGCTTTTCTTAGCTTATATATCCAGATCCAACGGGCCGAATTTGCAACATTGATGTTCTAGCTTATTCTCGAACCATCTCGCAGGTTAGGTAACGTCGGAAGGGACATTGACCTTTCTGTCTCAGTATTCTAGCCGAAAAAAGCACATCCCTGGATAGGAAATGTTGGGCCTCGAACGCTTTGCTTCGTCAGTACAAACGCAACAGTTGCGCTCGTATAGACATATTTATTTTGTGTCATTTTAAGTACCTGATTGCTAGTCGCATAGTCCTAGTATATTGTAAATACTTTAAAAATTTGTCGACTTCTCTTGCGCTAAGTTTGACCGATAATCCAGAAAAGTCCAGTGCATGTCGTCATGGACTGATCGAGTCGATACCTATAGAGTTAATAACTAGTATTTAGTCGCCTTTTCAAGGTATAGAAATAGCTATATATTTATAGTCAGTGATCATGTCGTTGACAGGAGTGACCTGCAATTGAATAACAATCCACATTGTTAAGTGAATTTTGCTCATTATTAACGGTCCAAGTAAAAGGCCTGGATTCATTTTAGCGTTCACGACAGCTCCTCCTCAAATATCCATCGATTATTTGGGTACAGTTCATATATCATGATAAGAGTAATAGTCAGTTTGCCCTCAATGCTCTACCAACGTTTCAGAGACTCCTGTGAGCAAAGTTAACTTTGTTCGCTAAACACGAAGACAACTGCTTTTCGGAGCGAATGATCTGTTCAACAGCAGTAATTCGGGTATTTGTAGTGGGGTAGCAGCAACTACTGCACAGCATCGCTCGTTCAGGCGTCATTAGCCGCTGGGCTTAAGGACTGCAAGTGGTCATTTTATTGAGAGCAATTTTACGACAACAATGTGTCGCTAGTAGATAATCTGCTAAATGTCAAACAGCCATAAACGCGCTGTTGCGCTAATAAAATCCTATATAATACATTTAGCCCAGAGAAGCAACTGCCCCCTCCACGCCGTACCCCCCAGCTCCTAAATTTACGCATGAATTCGGCGGTGGCGACAACACCCACTGAGTGATATAGCAGTTAATCTATTGTTCTAATTGTACCTCTTCCACACGATACGTGATAGAAAAGGCCTAGATAACAACAACTGCAGCTACGGCGAAAATGCGAATCTTTTACGGTACTTAATTCTACGATAATTTAACGCCAAGGTGAACAATATGCCCGTTTTATGCCGATGAATTATGTGTACAATAATATTGCGGTAAAGACACACTACCATTCAGATCTGCGTCATAGAAAGTGTGCAACGGTGACAACTGGCCAATGGCGTAACGCTGCGTAGATAGTCATATCGTAGTCTGTTTCCGTGTGCCTTCCTATAAAGGATCCTTTGTTTTGCCCACAACATAAATTTGTTAACCGCTTGCTGGCCTGCGAACGGGAGCGAGCTGTTGCACTTTTAGCATTCAAACAGGTTGATGGCAGCCTTTATTCGTGCCCAATAGAGATAGATTAGGCAGCCATTAGGTTTTCTTCCTTAGGAACTAACTGGCCCACCTTCCTATTAGGTTATTAAACTAACTAATTTCCAGCAACCGAAACCGTATGGAGCAGCCATTAACATCGCCAAAATGGAATTTCTACTGGATTTTCTGGCCACGACCTATACTTGTTTAGAGCGGTTAGTCTGGTGTTAATTTACTCTGTCGTGTTTTGTCTCCGCACATTAAAACTCCATAACCGTAACAGATCTGACGTAAGCCGTCAAACTCATATCTGGCGAGAAGGCCATTTACCGTGGCCACAATGGTATGCATCGAGACGATCTTCTATTACAGGTTCCGGTACAAAAGAGTACTCAAAACATGTCGTTCATTCTCTGTTTGCAGACATACACTTCATTAGGTTTTGTAAACGAATAATTTTTATAAGCAAATCAAAGAAGGAAGATTTTGAAAAATTTCTTCTAATACACATCTATGTACTCTAACTAAACAACTATTACAAATTCGCAAATCTTGACTGCTCAACCAGTGGAACGACCTTTAATTGACGCCTGCCTCAAGCTTAATATAGCTACTGTCATATCCCTTCCGTTAGCCTCCATGGAGAAAGTGTGACGCTTTGATTTGCCCGCGAAATCATCAGGTCCGGTTGAAGCAAATCATGTCAAGACGCGCTTGGCTTGTTTTACGCTGAGGATTAAATCGTTCTTGATTTATATTTGTGAGAATGCCTTTTGTATTAATACGAAGCAATGCGGGCCAAACCGTTTCTCGTCGGCGGTCGCTCATAGCCGTTTTTACTATTCTCGTTCCCAACATATTTCCTACGACCATGCACAAATAGTGTATTTCTTTCTCCCAGGAGTAGTCAATTATGATGATTAATTGTTGTTTCTACCGTTTTCCGCGAAACATTTTATCACGTTTCGAAAGTGCCTGATGGGGTACTATTATCGCTCCTGGCGAAACACAGTAAAGAGGTACATTTGTTCATAAACAACAAGGGTAAGCTACGTGCGATCACAAATGGTTTCCTCGTTTGCCCTTTCTGAAATCTTATGCTTTTCTGTAACGTGTAACAGTTTGGCGTAGCTGAATCGATAGGTTTAGATAGTTTTCTAGTTTCTAGCTTTTCGCACGGGGAAACGATGCGTAATCGTGGAAAATATGAGACTGCTCCGCAGATGGACACGTTAATTAGATGCTATCTAGTCAACAATAGATGTTATCACAACGGTTGATGACCAGTGTTCGATTCGCTTCCCTGAAAGCCGGTCCGGCAAACACATATATGGCTATCCCCTAAAATTGAACAAAGCCAATACAAGCTTTTTGTTGACTTGACAACGTTGCTTTTTGCGACTTAAATAGGGACAACTGACACGTTGTCACTGCACCATCATCAGAAGCCTTACCGAACTTTGCCACAAAGCAACCGAACTGACCATCTCATAGTTCAGACAAGAGAACGCGTGAAATCTTATGACAACGTCTGATAGCGAAGTAACCTAATATGAGATTTAAGGTGGGAAATGAACAAATACCGACGTAAGAAGACAGAGCGTACACTGAAAATGTTCGCTACAGAAAAGCGATATAGGGCGGCGTTGTTTTACAAGGGGCCGGGTTAGTAGCGCACCAGCAGGTTTCTCTAACTTGCTAGTTGTTGTTACGATTTGGCGCACAATTTGAATCAAACAAACAGATTTGCAAAAAATAGGGGACTGAGTATTTTGTTTTGTACATGGGACAAGCGTCGTCGAAACACGGCATGCACTTTCGCCGCATTTTTTCCTGCATCAAATTGTATCTAGTCTATTTAAGAAAATGGCTGATATATTACTATGCATTACAGTAAGTAAATGCTTGAAGTAAATACATAAATCATCTATCCGATTTCACCATGACAATGGGACATTTTTTTTTTTGTATATTCGTTGGTTATTTTAGTTCAGATCATTATGGACCAGCGAACTGTTACCGAACCGGCATGTCAAACATTTGATACACTGCCGAAATGGTATCGAAAATTAGAGGCACTCCCTAACTGAGCTTAATTATTTGTTCGGGCTAGGTTTACCTTTAAACACTCTTTTTTATTTTTCAAAATGAACTTACGCTTTTCTACATACTTCGTCAAGCATAACATCGGCCTCAAAGGTACTCTTGGTTTAAAATACTTTTTCCAATCCACAGGGTGTCTTCCATTATTCGGCTTGATTCCGGATTCCAAATCTTGTTTCTCGGCCTTCCGAAAAGACAGGCATTTTCGTTGAGAAACATAGAAGTTGAATAGGGAAATTTTTCATTTTAAGAGAATACCATATCTAACCTCACTTTCTTCTGGATATATATATGTTTAGAAGACAGCACCCGCAACTCTTCCAATAATAACAGTTGTTTGAATTGATTTCTAAGTACCAGTTTGGGTCTTCTGAATTGGTTTTCATGTACCAACTACATCTAACACTATGTCTGACTCGAAAAAAGTACGAGCGTATAACAGCTAACATGACAAGATATTGTTGTTTAAAAGTAGCCGCCAGCAATGCAGCTCAGCATTTCAGAATAGTGAGTTCCTTCGAGATGTAGAATAAATTGCCGGAGCAACAAAGCTAAACTGTAAGCTATAAATTGAGCGAAGCCCGAGGGCAGAAATTAATTTCTTGTTTCAGTCTCAGCGTACGTATTTACACCAAATATAATACCACTTAACAATTGGAGCTGTATTGAAATTCACATTGTTTAACATACAACTAAAAAAATATTCTGGCACAGGTGCCTGGAACCACTCGAAGTTCATTGACATCCGCTCGCGTGCGGAGTAAGCGCAGATGGGCACACAAATGTGTTCTTAGGTTTTGTCTACCCCGGGCGTTGCGGTTTCCGGGGTAAAAGGAAGGGCGGCCATTACTTACAGAAAGCGACCAAGCCGGCAAAGACAAAACGAACAGATCCCACCGACGTGTTGTAACCAGGGCTATATAGACTCCATTGGCATGAAGCCCGGGTGATTAGAGTGTAATCCCATTTTGGTGCAATAATAATATGTCTTGACACTTGGTAATAGAGATTGTGTGACACACCACCCTTCGCCCCAAGAAAGACAACTTCCAGTAAGTGTACGCTGTACAAAACACCTTACTTAATCTGCAAAAAGACCCAACCAAGCAAGATGAACAAAATGCAAACTTTTAACAACTTATGTGCACGAGCATCGGCAGCGACCATGCATTACAGCAGTTCTCGACATTCACAAGGACGCGTGCGGAGTTACGCAGCTGACAGAAGCTAGCCGAAATTATCGAGATCAGCGACCGCACTGCTTCAATAAATGTTTGACGCGAGATAGCAATCACTATGGGCCTGAGATTGCCCTTAGCATATTATATGTTTTATTACGAAATCTCAGCACTTTAACCTGCAGCGACACATAATACCGTCTACTTACACACACACAAATACAGACTCTGCAACGATACTCGGCCTATTCCGTCATTGGTTTCTCACTACCACTGCCGCCGCCGCCTGCAATCTGGACTATTGCTGAATCACTTGAATGACAACGATTCGCGCCACCTCACAGTTGTTGTGCACAAATCATACGTGTGCCTCAAAAGACGATCAGGTACGCCCGTTACTGAGCGCAAGACGCACACCGCGTCGCTGTTTTTTTCCGTTTCTTCGACCCGGGAAGGATAATATGCGTCAAGCTGACGAATAAACCAGCTTGACCAACTTAAAACTCCATGGATGGAACTAAAACCGATGGACTCGACAGGCCAATGAGCTCGTCGAGTTCTTGTACCCCATGTCATAGATGAAGGCGAACTGCTAAGTAAACCTGTACGTTTCCTTTGACCAATAACATCAATAGCGCACAACCAATGTTGTTTCATGGATATGCAACTCAACACACACTCACATCTATCTAAAAAGCGGCACAGATCATGTCAGTAACGAAAAAAATTCGCCGTTCTCGACAACCGAAAATGCCGCTACTGCTGGCCAAACCGTGCGCTAGACATCCCACTGTTTCATCACTGTCCTCCTTTAGAATCAATGTCGTCCTACGAAAGAATGGCGGCACTCTCATACACAATCTAAATCCACTATGTATTTTACGATAGACTATGTGTACTGGGTAGCCTCTCGAACGTAGTTCAAATACGTTTCGCCGTCGATAAGCTGTGCCACCATCGCCGTTAGCATCACCACTAGGACAAGTAACACCGCAGGCGCTACCTCGTCCTCAGACGAACTACGTATAACTTGGGGCAATTCGGGCTGTTTCCTGTCTCTCTCTCTCTCTCTATCTCTCTCTCTCACTCGCCCTCTGTCTCCCTCCCTCTCTCTCTCTCTCTCTCTCACGCACTCGGTTGTTCCTCACACGTTTAGATCAAGTCGATCGGACACACTTTTGAGTGATATAGCACTCTTACTCGATGCCACTCTACCCGTTGCTACGGCTTTCGTTCTCTCTCATTCCGTTTTCTTTTTCCCGCAGCAGCAGCAATAGTAGTGATAACAGCATCAACGCGGTTTGTATTGACGTCGTTCAGACGAAGCATCGAAAAGCTCACCTCAACCCTCAGAAGCGCCACACCACGCAGCAGTAGGACAACAGTTCCTAGGGTGCCCACACACAAACTCACGTTTCCACGACCGCTGGCTGGAATATTATCCTTTCCTACTTTTTCGGTCTTCGTCGTCTTCGCCGTCGTTCAGTTGACGGTGGCTGTGCGTTTTCTCGTACTGGGGCTTGCCTGTACACTTTCGCGCACAGTGGTGGCAGACGAGCAGTGCCAGGGAGGTACCAGTAGAGGGCGGCTGCAGCCAGTGGGGGAGTACATCGGAGCCGCTAACTCGACCGGGCTCTCGTTGCACTCAGTGCACTCACTCGCGGACAGAGAAGCAAGATGGCGCCTGCGGCGGCGGCAGCAAAGTGGGATCCACGGCAAGAGAACCTCCCTGAGAAGAAAGAAATCGTTTTGGCACAAAGGGACAACGGGCATAGCAAGGGGAAAGGAGTTATAGGGGTGCGGGACTAAGGGGCGAGGGTGTGGGTGGCAAACAGGCGCGCGTGCTTTTATACACATATAATTGAAACATCCACATACAGCCACACTAGAGCAGAGGCAGTACGCGGCAAGAAGGTGGCATGGAGGCTCAAACCGACAAATATCCGTGATAGACGCATGCACAGTGGAATCTCACAGCCCCAGAACTTCCGGAGAATGATGCGGGGCAGGCTAACGGTGGTGGATATGGATGGAGCGGAGGGCGATGCGATGGCGGTGTTGGTGATGGCAATGGTGATGGGACGTGAAGAACGACACAGCGGCTGGCAGAGGGCGCTACTTTCGCCTACTCTCTAGCAACTATCCCGTCGACCGATTACCGGCACAGAAAGACTAGCCTAGACGAATCGAGCCTCAGAAGCCCCGGTCCATTCACTCACACTTCCTGAACGCCGTGCTCACGCGTCCCGTTTCTTCCCGTCGAGCCCCTTCGGTGCTCGCCTGGCACGCATTGCTCTCTAGGAGAGGGGGCTTGCTTGCAATGTCTGTCTGTTTTGCGTGCCGCTACTGCCCCGCGCAACATAAGCGCACGTTTCTGGGAATCCAGGGGATACTGGGCGCAGATCCGCAATCGCGGAGATAGGGTTCGGGAAGGGGAAACAAATTTAAGGAGACCAGAGAGCTATTGCAAACCAAGCAACAACGGCATAAACGCACCGCATATTTCGACGCTAGTCCAGGCTAGATTGGACAAGGCTGAGTCAGGCGGCAGATTACGGCCGCAATCATCGGACGGGATCGATGCCGCCCCAACCATCGCTGGACCCACTGCTGCTACGAACTGAAAAGAAGGAAGTATTCTTGTAGCTAGATGCTGCCCATCCGTTGCACGGACGACAATATGATTGGGACCACGGCAACCACAGAGCCTAACGTTTACTATGACAGTATCAAAATGGGCCACAATAAATGGCATACCCGTGGGAACAATACAACACTGTCTCTTGATCTAACCTAAAGAGAAGAGACCTCTGGGCATGGACGACTCACTGGCAAGCCCGAAAATCGAAAAAGCTAAAGATTACGAAGAGCAGCAAAACAAATGCGAAACACAAGAGAGCTATGGCTCTCATGTTCTTTAAAAGTAGAAAAAGGGTTGCATGAAAGGTGGTCGATTGGGCCAACATAAATAAGATCCGTTTCTTAGAAGGCCATTCGGCAAGAGTAGACTCAATTAAAAAATACGTATGAGTCTTGTAGTATGATCGTGTTTACGAAAATCGTTAGAACCCATTTACGTTGGTGAAGATTACTATATAGCACTAGTCTAGCAGATAATTCCATGACAGTAATAAGTGATAAAGTAAAGTGTACCTCAGCAGATCATTTTGTTTTAGTAGCTTAATAGGAGAAGATATAAAATGTAAACATAAGTTTAAAATAAATTGAGCTGCCGTCCGATTCAGCTCGAGTCAAACAAGTAACAAAAGATATTTCTTCATATTACGATTTGTACTTACATTTTGTGATAAGGATGTGCGAGCTGTCGAGTAGCCAGTGTATCCGTATCCTTCTTCATAATAAAAATTATTTCTTTTTGCACGATTATACATACATGTATTTTTTTTTATATAAACTGGCGATTTCATGTACAAATTTAGTTACCAACGAAACGTAAAAAAGCAAATCAACAGACAAAATATCCGTGAATAAAAATTAACTTGGGACATCCCTTTACAGTTCAAATGATAGCTATCAAAAAATTCATTCTTAATAACACGGTGCGACTATTTTAAGCAAACCCATGATAAGAGGCGAACGACGTTTATAGTGTTAGTCGACTAAGTTATTCTCAAGCACCCCGAGGATCCATTGCTTCATCACAAAACTAGACCTGCTGCAAACGCGCAAACGGCTTTGAGGATCTTATCGTAAGAATACGATATACCTGCGAAATGGCTGACCGCGTCTGTCCTCTACGAAAGTTTTTGCATAAAACGGCACACCTATTTAGCATCTAGTGTTCATTTACAAAACTAAATTTGTAAAAAAAAAACTGCTACTCGTATGGGTATATAGTCACGAGACGTTTCACGGAAAATTTTACCACGTCTGCGGAAGGTCACTGCTCTATATCTAGTTGAAAGAAGTGGGAAGGGCCGAGGTGAGCCATCGTTGCATTCCCAGAGGGTCTTTCGAAGGCAAGACAGATGAAAATGAATATAATTATTTCTAACAGATTTTGAAGGGTTTGGAAATCTAGCGTAAAATACAGGTCTTGTTTTCTTGGTGATGTTGCATCTGTCGCTCTATCACAAGACATGAAAACGTTAAAGGTTATTGACGTAGTGAGCTTACATAAGATGAAATTTTAAAGTTATCTAAAGTACCTGGACCGCATAAATCATTACGAATGCTTGAAAACAACTCAAAAGTGCTATATTAAGATATTATCAGATGTAAATGTACTTTTCTTTTTAATATTTCAAAAAGCAGCAAAGCCATCTATTACGAAGCGTCTCATTGATCGCTGTAAATTGTTTTTCTTTTGTTTAAATACATTGTACGATATACTTTTCACAGCTACTGCAAAACCCTATGACAGCCATGAAGAAAATCAACGTTAGACCTAGATATGTGCCATTTTCAAATTACAAACTATCGATACGTTGCTACCTCATCGAGTCTATTAAATTATTAGCTGATAAAAGTAAGACGACGTAATCTAGGCCGGCTCACAGATGACATGCAATGCTATCAACTTTAAAGATTTTGTTTTCACGCAGCTCCTAACCTCATGCTGTTGTCCTTATCATACGGAAGCCTTTAAAAGGCAAGAGCAAAACCTATGAAAATAAATAGCTTGTTGTTGATTAACTTACCTAGATAATTTTATAAGCGTTGCTTTGTCGGACAACGAATAGATCCCTTTTAATGAAGCTCAACAACAAAGCTAGAGTAAAAAGAAAGCAAAGTAAGACATCAGTAGTTTTTTTTTTTTGTTCTGAATAGCTTTATGTTTTTTGTTGCTTTGCATACGATGCATTGAGTTTGTGTTTTTGTTGATAACCGACGGGCTCTTTGTTGTTGCGCATCAGACACACTTCTTTTGAAAGCCTCGGTCCATGTTTGTATGTCGTCGTGTTATCCCATCTATCCTTCTTTACCCCTTCTATACTTAATCGTCTTGTCGTTTCTTCACATAATAATAATAATAATTAAAAGAAGTATAATTGCAATAATAATAATAATATTAAGAATTACAAGAATCTTGATCTCCACTACACAATTATTGTTACTGGTGTTGCCACTTAGTATCCACCCGTTTTTCGGCAATCACTAGACACACCATACAATGTCGTCCTGCAGTGCTCTTGCTTTTCTATTCAAGTGAATAAAATGAAACATCCTTAACCTTTTTTTGACACAGATTCTTTTTTGACTCATGAGAATCTTAGGTCTATCGTCGTCGTTCATATTTCCCTGTCTTTTATCTTCAGTCCCTCATTGCGCTTCGAACCTACATATATATATATATATGTACCTCTTTTTCTGTCTCATACCGCAGTACCCCCTACAAGCCCGTCCTCGAGGATCCCGTTGACGCTGTTATCGTCATTTATTCAATCATATATTTATTATATGCGCGCAGTACTGTGTCTTTATCTCGGTCATCACTGTTTTTCTCTCCTCTCCCTTATCTACGTATCCAGTAGTTTATTTTTAGCTAGTATTATTAAAACACAGACACTTCCTCTTCTATATTTTTGTTGTTATCGTCAATGTGAAGCTATCATCTGTAGATTGCTTTTGGTGCTTTCGTCAACTGATTTTTTCGGTTTTCTAAAAAGTACTAGCATCATGATACTATTTCCTTTCGTGCGAGCAGGCTCTTTCCTATTTTGTGTGCCGTATCGACTTTTCTATTTTCTCTCTCTCTCTCCCCCGTTTTTTTATGTTGTCTCGCTAATCGTACCGGATATATGTATATATATATATATATATATTACAATCATATGTACAGACATTCTTCCAGCCTATCCTATCTATATCCAAAGGCTCATCTTTGTTCTTATATTTCGGCTTGTTATTAAAGATTTCCTGTTTGTCTCCCTGATCGTCCATAAACACCGTTGCGGCACACTGTCAACTACACGCCTTATTATAGAATCATCATATCACTTCAGTTTCATGCAACATGACGCAGGCGACTGCTTGATCGATTTCCCGACTACCCATTTAACCGACCTCTGCTCTTTCGTTAAACCCCGGGGTATCTCATCCAGATTTGACATGCATTCTTCAAGCACTTGTATGGAGAAACATTGCTATTATCATCATTATCGTGCATAACCATCATGCACTCCAGCGAAGCAGTTCAAATAACGTATTCCAGGCTGTTTAAGGAACGATATATTGTGAGCAGCAAGAGCTACACGAAAGTAACTTTTCGAAACAACTTTTCTTCATTTTTAATAAGGTGCCCCAGTTTATAGTCTATGATCTCAGAGATTTTTTATGAAGACTATAAGCTACCAGCTTTACTTCAAAGTAAAATTCGCTTACACAACGGAACGAACTGAATGACAATCAATCTAATTATACATCAGTTAATTAGCATTATAAGTGGCTATATTATTGTTATTATTACGATCGCTTCTCGCAAGTACTTCTGCGTCGCTGCGTATTTCAAAAATATGTGTTTGTTTTTGTTATTTATCGTTATTTCTAGATTGTTGGCTGCCCAGCTGAGGCATCGAAGCAAAGCTAACGGTAAGGCAAGCACCATCGATTTAGGCCCTGTAGAACTACATTTAAAGTTCTAAAATTCCGGAACTATTGATTGCTATCAAAAATCAAATTTTCATAGTTATTTAATAATTCTACAGCCATTAACATTTAATGCACAGTCATTGCTTCGCCTAAATTTAGAGAATATCGGCGCATTATGCCTTATCATGTTTTGAGTAAACAAAAACTTCTATTATCTCTAAAACAGCAAGCGAGTTGGAGTTCGTTTGTACTAAGGCTTAATAATGAGTTAGACATTATTGTGATTGTGCTTCTATTTTTCGTAGTATGCACGAAGCTAAAACAATTGTCCCTCATGATCCGTTCTTTTGGATAAATTTTAAACAGGATAAATTATGCACACCAAAGTGACATAAGCATGAGGCTGCATTTATGATTCTGTTACGAACATGTGACCCATATTTGATTTCGCCTATTTTTACATTATAACGTTTTTACTTGTGATGCCCAGTAAACGTTAGCTATGGCACGTACACGTCCTGCCGCCCCGAGAGTTATGTGCACCTTGACATGGAACCAGGCTAATAAGTCGAGCTAATGTCTTCCTGTTATGTAAATACCCCAAGACGCTTAATCCTCTTACCGTTGATCCTTATTTTGTTACTATTATTAAATACATGACGGCGACAGGATGGATGCCAACGACGCATCGCAACCGTACTGCCGTGCCTTGTTTGTACTCTGTCCGTTGTCGTATGAATACAATATTATTGTTGTGTATCTAAAAACTTTTGTACAGCAACGCTTTCATTTTATTCTTGTGTGTTCAAAAGGCAGAGGTATTGTACAGCAGAGCTTTTTGGTAACAACCAGCGCGTTTTTCCGTTGCACACCGTACGCTAGTGTAAACCTAGAACTCATAGATGACAAATTTACTATGCCCTTTCCAACAAACGTTTCTCCCTACCTCTCTGTTTCTTATGTAAAATACCTGATACGAAGAGTTCTTTGTTTGAGATGGAATCGAATGTCTTGTATTGTACGAATTTGTACGCACAAACCTACGCCGCTGCTCCTGTCACCACGCAAAGTTGTGGCTTGATCTTATCATCAAGCCTCCAGTTGTGAGAAGACGCTACCACACAAAAACGTTCATAAAAATGCGTCACTCACGATCATTCATGACGCTCACCTGTACGGACATGTGAACACGTTTCGCTACAACCATCATCAGCGGTTACGGCAGATACCATAGGCGAGCTATGCTCGTCTGGGGATCACGGCATCGGTTGTCACACGGCCCTCTAATCATCTTTTGCTAGAAGAATAATTAACGGAAAAGGTACGCTGACTTACTCGAAACTTTCAGCACTCTTGCACTTGTGTAGCTGATTCTTTGTTCTTCTGTTTCTTACTGCCAATTTACAACATTATAGGTATTCCGTTTGCTTTGCGTTATTGTTCCTACTATTTCACCAGCACGGACCTAGACTAAATTGTACATTATCGTGGGTATTACAACACATCCGCACGACGCACCACAGTAAACTGTGCATTTTTTCTTTTAGAAGTACCGATTGTTAACTTCGATCGCTTTCAGATCGCTAGAAATCACATTGATTAAAGCCTTACTGTCTTTTGACACCGATACTTCAAGCTAGGCAGAAATTGCAGCCAGTCTAAGCCGGGGCAAGTGTACGAGTCTGTGTGGCTAGTTATTCCTATCGGGCCTCCTGAAGATCTTGTCAAGCCGATTAATAAGAGAAAAAGCTTACCGTCTTAAATTCTAGTAGCTTAAGATGCAAAATGCACATCCCAAGCAGCGATGCGTCGTCAATCGTGATCAAATGCGTGTCAATTACGGGTTAACTCTTGACAAAAAATGATACTCCCTGAGAGAGATGGATTGTGTTGCCAAGATTTCAATTCGAAGCGGGTATCCCAAGCAGTTCTAATGCATTATTAACGGTGTCAAGCGCCATAGTTTTTAACTTCTAGCTGTGCGTTGTCTTACTGATAGCATGCCCAATGGTGGAAGTAAACAATGGAGGTAGCTGTGTTTTAATCTAAAAGTCGTCCGTAAACAAAACACTGGATCGAAGATCGAACTGAACAACAGTGTCGCAACAAAATCGCCAAGCATTGCACATATGCGAAGAAAACAAGTACACCGCGTAAGCCACAATGTTAATATTAAAATAGCCTTATTACCCTTGTCTCTTCCCCTTTCTCTCTCGCTGGTGGCTGCTTTGAACAAAGATAATCCATTTTTTTTTTCTAAAGGTAATCGATGATGAATCAGAATGAAAAAATCATAATCCAATTAACCGGACTCTTATCGGTTACAGCGCATTTGCCGCTGCTTTTTTGCTGTTAAACGTGTCGCCGCTATTCTTGCTCTTTGTTAATTGGTTATCGTTGTGCGTTGCATGATGCAGTTATGGTCGGATCGTCGTCAGATGAGGGAGCAGTCGTTCCAGCAGTATCACACTGTGTCGATGTTGTTAATTCCGATGAATCCAGAGAGCTTTCTGTTGGGTCGTTGTTGTTGACATCGGTGAAGCGCCGGTGAAATAGCACCACGCTAGTTGAGTATACGACTGAGAAAGAGATTCCAGTTGGTGCAACTTGAATGATAATCGATCGCAAGCGTTATAGTCTGTTCTTGGTTTGTTTCTTTCTGTTGCCCGCTCATTTACCGTCTTCTAGTTGCTCAAATGAACGCCTGCGCTAGTTTTGTCATCTTCTTCCATTAGACATCGCCTATTATAATTACGTTTTAGCTTCATTCTGTCTCTTTCTCTCAGTCTCGAGATTATATATATATATATATATATTGTTAAAGCGGCGTCGAGTGGTTATGATTGTTGCCAGGCGGTTGAGGCGTATCGGGGCCCTGACCAAATGACGTGGTGGAATTCGAGTGGGCCAAGCTGAGTAGGCTGCCTGAGAGCGATTGTGCGCCGACCAAACCGCCGGATTCTTCGGCTGCCAAAATCTCGGCTAGCGAAAAACCCATCTGATTGCTCTCAAGATCGAACTTTTCCAAATCCGCCATCTGCCGCTTGGCAAGTAACTGTTGGCGGGACAGCCGTTCCGACGCAAACTGTCTTCGTTCGTTATCCATCTGAATAGTCAGGTTCGGCAAACAAGGCGAGCACCAAGAAGCAACAAAAGAGAAAAACAAAATGTTTTGTAAAGGCGAGTAATCATAGATCATCGCATTTTTCTATGTTCATCTATTTTAAATATGAAGGGAAGCGGACCCGTATTAATGGACTGAATTTATTTCAACATTATACACATTTCTTAGACTTGGCCGTGTTATCTGAGTACTTACGTGATCAACAATCACTTTTAGTCCACTAAACTATCTAGGAAGTTGTCTTGCTACTGCTGTGACCACACATATGTGATGCATTGACTGTACGACACAGACGACGTCCTATCGGAGCTTGACATCAGCCTAATAGCCTTTAGCCATTTACCTAAAAATGATTAACTCCAATAGACTTTTTCCCTCATACCTTGGCCTGAATGGTTCGCAGACGGTTATGTATCCTATCTTCAAGCTCTTGGCGCTCCTTGTTGCGTTGACTCTCTGCCATAATTTTTTTTTTCGACTGGAACGCTAGCAATAGCTCCTGCTCCATTTGAAGATCCTGCTGAAGCTGGTGCAGTTCGGCCGACTGCGATTCATCTAGACGAATTGACTGTTTTTGCAGCATCTCCGAGATGCTCTGTTCGTATTGCTCGCCCAAAAGGGCCAGCTTGCGAACTTGCTCGTCCTTAAGCCGCTTAACGAGCTCTTTGTGTCGCTCGCGTGGCGTACTCGCCATTAACTGACTCTTCCAAGCCTTGTACTGACGTGTTTGAACCTTGCATGCTTCGCGGAACTGTTTCCGGATCTGCAGCTCATTTTGGCGCAGACTCTTGGGTTGTTGTTTGACCTCGGCAGCGTGTTTCTTGTGCAGTTCGTGTTCTCGTCTCGTACTGTACTGTTTTTGTAAACTCATCTCGGTTTCATGCTGTCTCCGGAGGTGGTCGCTCCGCAACTGGTGAACGGCCCTCTGCTGCGCTAGCTCGAGACGCTGAGTCGCGTCGTGGTGACGAAGCAAAATCGAGTGAGCCTGCTCTAATTGACTTTCTCGCCGTTCCAGCTCGGCGCGAAGCTGCTCCTGCTCAAGAAAGTGCGCCAACACCAGCCGCCTTCGTCGGTAACATCTAGACACCGAGGCGGAAACGCAGAGAGAAACAAACGATACAAATGGCTTCTTGTGACGTTGCTGTAGTTACAATGCCTACTAAACTTGCAGAACTTTAGTGAGCTGGTCTAAACTCAAAGGCGGCCGTAGATAGACATACGGCTCATTTTGTGCTGGAAGAAGTTAATTCTGTCTGCAGCAATGTTCAACCATGGTCATAAAAGTTCAAACCGTTTAAGCCCGCGAAACGTTTAACCCTGAACATATGATATAAAGGTAATCTTTTCTAGGCAACCTTAGAATTATTTACATTTGTCCATCCGTTTTATAGTATTACAGTGCCACATGCATTTACGACTCTTGCATATTCGAAATTGTAGTATAACATTATAATAATTATTATATAATTTATAATTAAATAATAATAACTATTATAATTACCTGACTTCCCGTTTCAGTGCGCCCGCTTGAGTGATAGTTAGCCGTGTGAGTTCCTGATTCTGACTTTCATGCAAACCCGCTTTATGGACCTTGAGCTCCTCGCCGTCGTATCGCTGTTTGTAGCGTTCCTTCTCACTTTTGTAGGCTGACTTTTGCAGTTGTTGAAACTTTTTCGTCTCCTCGTCCTGCTTTGCTTGAATAGCCTTAATTAGACGCTTCTCATTGGCCACATTGCTCTTAAGTTTCTTTTCGAGTTCCTGTTGCTGTTTCAGCTGCAGCTTTTCCAGCTCCTTAGCAAACGTCAACAGTAAAGTTTCGTACTCTTTGTCGAGGCGAACCTTGTGCTCGTCCATCTCCTGAAGGCACTTGGCTTCAAGGGCGACTAGGGCTTTATGATGCTGATCCTGCATCCGTTTATATCCACGCATTTGTAGCTCACTCTCCTGTTCTTGATGTTCTTTAATCTGTCGCGTGACGATAGACGTCGTCCGAATCGTGGCGAAGTTGTCTTGTCTATTCACCGTACCGACGAGTGAGCCTTTCGAGTCTCGTCGACAGCTGAGCGGACTGTGGCTAGGAGCGGTTTCGGCGACGCTGCCTACGCTAGCCGACGACGAGTTGCTCGCGCTTTGACGATGACCACTCTGGCCAACACAGGAGCCCGCTGATACGTTGCTGCTTTGGGTCGATGTCAAGCTGTTGCTCTTCGATGCGTCGCCATCTTCCTGTGAAAGCACACGATAATTTGTGGCTAACTACATGTATATTTGCTGTGTTGTTTATTCTATCTATTAAGTCATACGTTAACTCCGTCTTGATTTTTATTTTCCTTTTTAGAACTTCAGCGAGTTTAGTTAGTGGGCCTAACTACACGCCGCTGTCATGCTGGCCGAGAGAATGCGGTTTTAACGCCACCCAATCCATTCAGTTTATCGAGTTGGATATAATTCGACATAATTTAGCGAACTGGGAGCAAAAAAACGGATACTAACTACACTGCCAAATAGTCAAATGCAATTTCACAGTGAAATTGAGGGTTTAACAGTAATATTCAAGGGTTTAATTATAAAATACAAAAGATTTACTTACGCTTACAGCGCTATCCTCATCATGCGTCAGGCCGGACTGGCAGGGTTCGTTACCTCCAGCAACGTTACCATTGTCTCCATTGCTTTCGCCTCCGGTTCCGTCAACCATGAGGATCTTTTTCATTTTCCTATAGTTGATGTTATCTAATTCTCGAACCGCCGCTTTTGTTCGAAGTATTAATTCGACTAACACTCGAGCTGGCCTTGTTCGTGTTACAAACGGATGCTGAAATAGGCCAATTCAGAACGAAGCAAATAGTTGTGGTTAATGAGGAGGTGACCTAACGTGTCGTAGAAAGTCACCGTTTCCTTCCGAAACGGAGGTGTTTATTAATAGACGTCACATGTGCCTACTCATTAATACATTGTGCATATATATATATATATATATATATATATATATATATAACTATGTTACTGAAAAACTTGTCACACAATCTACGTATTTCGAGAAACTGAATATGGACCTTAAGAAGAGTGGCAGTTGTTGGCCGTTGTTGAGGTTCCTTCCGGAGACATTCGGCGACGTATTCGCGAAATTCGGGCGACCATTCTATAGCCGTCGAAAGTTGAGGACTATCATTCTGAGCTATGTGGTACAACGCTGACATGGCGTTCATATTGAAATAGGGTGGTTTCCGTTCCGCCAACTCGATACACGTGATGCCTAAACTCCATACATCAACCTTACCATCATATTGTCCTTCGTCCATAGCTGAAATAAAGCAAAAATAAGGATCAAATTGAATGAGGATCCGAGCCCGATAAGACAAGGAGTTCAATTTATATTCGCCGATCTGTCTCGTCTCGTAATGTCTATAGCACAATGTTACAGAAAAAGCTTAGGAAGGCCTCTTATATTCATTTCGGAAAGCATATCGCATCCTTAATGTTTGTGCCCCTCTTTGTGCCTCCGAGGGTGAATTTTATTAACATACACAAGTTCTCATGGCAAAAAATCACATCTGTTAACCAATCATCCAATAAAGATCCCGGATGCTCTAAGTAAACACAAAGGACTTCACTAAATAGGAATTATCGGAGAATTCGAAGTCAGTGGTATAACCACATTCGATATGTAAGAATTACTACTGCCACTAACCAAGGATAACTTCCGGAGCCATCCAGTACGGCGTTCCGACAAACGAATTGGCTGGACACGCCATCGACGCCGATCCGAAATCGGCTAGTTTTACTCGACCCGCTTCAGTAAGGAGGATGTTGCCTGCCTTTACATCTCGGTGAATGCGCCCCGCAGAATGCAAATAGTCTAACCCCTGAAGGGCATCTTGACAAATGGCTGCAATCTCTTCTTCTTTCAGGGGCTTTTTGTGCACCTGTTTAGGGGGCAAATACAGTATATCGCCGAAAGACATGCGTGGTTACTCTTCAAGATAGCTGTATTTGTTATCATAATCCCGGTAAACTCTACAGTTGGGAAAATCAAATGTGATAGGTAAATTTCTTAAATCAAAAAAAAAATCGCGAGTCAGAAAAACCATTTTCTCGAAAAGTTAATTCAGAAATGTTTCCCGCTGAAATATTAACCCAAAGCATATCCCCTGTTGTAGTAAAATATGAACCTAAAAAACAAAGTTAGATCTTGTTACCTCAATGATGTCGGACGCGGAGCCCAGACAGTATTCCATGACAAGCCATGCCGTATGCTCCTTGAGGTAGCAGCCTCGATAATCAATCGTATTCTCATGTTTCAACTGACACAAAAAACGAACTTCCTTCAAGATGTCTTGCCACTTCTGTAACGTAAAGTTCAGTTACTCCACAACACATTTAGATTTAGGCTCAATACGCAGGTTGCTATACCACCTAAACTAGCTGATTAGTCGCTATAAAACACAGTACCAAAAAGCATTTAGTTCCTATGCTGAATTTTGAACATACCTCTGCACTCTGTTTGCCAGAGAAGGTCATTTTCTTAATGGCGACCACTTCATTCGTGATGGAATTCCGAGCCTAAAATAGAACGAATAACGTGGTTAGTTAGTCGTTCCCTAATCCAAACAATAAGTTAACACATAAAATGCTTTCGTAGGCTATCATAAATGTTTCCATAGACAACTACGAAAATAATTTTTATACACCTTTCGCTCGTACCCAATACTAACACAGACCATGGTGCGTAGAGAAAAACCTTCGGAAGTAGCGATATCACTTTCTTTAATATCATAACAAAGAATTACTTCCACCAATGTCACTGCATTGAATGCGGCAGGCAGTCAAGACACTATAGCGCGTAACAAATACAGAAGGGTACACTACTTACATAGTAGACTGCACCAAAGCTGCCATGGCCGATTTCACGTAGATCAATGAAGACCTTATCTGGATCCTGGCGGTCGAAGAGTTCCGCCACTTGGGGATCTTTTAATGATCCGGGTTTTCCCACCGGCGTAGCAACCGCCGAAGCAGCTGCAGCGGCACGCACTCCATCTCCACCTGTTCCTACGAGGCCGCTACCCCCACTACCCTGGCCGCCACCTGGAGGCGTCACGTCGCCTGACGCCGTCGCGGGCGACGACGCTCCAGGCATGCCGCCACCGTGCTGTGAAATGCAGCCGCGCGCCGCTACATTTCTATTAGGTGAAAAAAAGCAACGGAGAACAATACACGAAAAATTAAAAAGACCATTAACGCAAAAAGAAACGTAGATATGCTGAGAGTGTACCGCTAGTCCAGTGCATGGTTTTTATGTTTAATGCAATTCACGCTCTTAACCCCGTCTGCCTATATGCAGATCGGCTGACCATAGAGGATTGCATCACCTGACATGTTGACATAATTTGGATTAGCTTTGTTAGTTAGACTTAGAATTTCGTTAGCTCTAATTGCAACGAATGGTTTCCACCGATTCGAAGATTTTAAGCCATTTTATTGCAGAACGATAACACGAAAAAGAAGTAGTTTCAATTATTTTTGTTCGTGGGTACAAGACTAGATGCAATACTGTAGATTGGAAAACATTCAGTGGAGCTTTACGTACCTTAGCAATAATTAATTAAATTGTGGCTGAAACGTTGGCACATAAGCTACGAATATGGGGACACCATTTTCTGCCTCTAGGCTAGCGCCTAAGAAAATTGAGAATCTTCTTCTTACACCAGGCCCGGAGAGAATCCAATTTACTTGTAATCAAATATGTCCTAAATGATTAACTGCGGATTCTCTGAATCATTTGATATTCACCCTTGAAAAGCTTATACCAGACGATGCTATGTTGTCAGGTTTTTTGTGGTAATATTCTTGCGTTTATTGTTATAGACGTGCTGGCGCCAAGTCTTTATGATCTCCTAAAGCTTTGACGTAATTTCTAAACCAAAGGCTGATTACAAATCTTCTACAGTCTCGCCTTATCATATCTTTAAATAGTTGCATTGAGGTCTCCATAAATTCAGACAACTCATAGTTGCGTCACAACTTTATCCGTATATTATTTTTCGATATATTTGGTAGTTTTGTTTAGCAGTTCGACATTGCCGATGGAAGGATTCATCTTACAATGGCTGAATTAATAAAAAGCACACAGCCCCTTGGTTTCGCTATTGCCATCATTTATTGAATGCTGCTTACAATTAAAGAAGCAACCGAATATTGTGTTCAAAGCGTACATATTACTAACCGATCGTCCTTTATTTGTATCAACACGAACTAGATAGTCCGATCCGATCAGAAATTCGACCGCTTTCGAGCAAGATTAGTCGCATTTATCTGAAATCGATTCCAAACCATATGTTTCACCCACAGACGGAAGCGTGCATTTTGCGATATGACAAAGTTTGGCACATCAAGTCGTGATGGAATATAAGGTAGATATTCTGTAAGCTAATCTCGTAAATTTGGTAATTTTTCATTTTGGTCAGAAAAATTTTTTCCTCCGATGGGATTGAGCTTCATAAGTTTCACTGAATCTTTTGATATATAATTTCGTACTGGCCCAGTGTCTAGAATAATAATTCTCTTTTATATGCTCCAGATTTTTCGCGCTAGTTACGGATTTTGAGTGAAATAATAAATAATGGCCGTTTTTGATTGGAATCTATCTACCTAGTGGTTTCTTTCGAAGGCAAGCATTTTCTCCGGTTGTCATACATCGTTTTTTAATGTGATGATAATGATTCGCTGCATTTCGCGCTGTGATGCTTGTCTTCGCAAAAAATGCATCAATCGGTGATCCACTGCCGAAGTGTCAAGTTAGAATATGTAATCTCTGTTCGGTTTCTGCATACTACTATTGAAGTTCTTACTTCAAACAGGTATTATGAAATTTGAAATCGGAGGCTGGCAATGAAGCTTAGTGTGTCAAATACGGCCCATATCAACTAATCTGTTCACTCGGCCACTACGCTTCTCCATTTCAAAATAATCATCAAAATAATAACCTTTCAGTTTGGACTTGTTATAATATTTTAATTGCGGTTTCTCTCTAAAACTACGACAAATTGAATCTTCATGCCGCACAGTAAATACTCAAGCTAAAAAAATTGGTAATGTTTCTGTTTTGATTTTCGGTGGCTCTAAGGATATGATGTTTTAGGAACATCTCGACACGAAATTATTAAATCTCAGAAGAGGTCTCATACTGCACATTTTTCGATATCCTTAATGTGTTGCAACTCTGATTTCCTGTATCTTTTTTCTTGTCATATTGACAGCGCTTTCGTGTTGCTCGTCTGAGAAATTGAGGTGATGAATTTCATTACTTACAGAAGGTCGGACAGCATCTTTCAATTTGTTAAACTTCTCGATATTTGAAAGGTCACCTTTCTTGTGATCAGATATATCGGAAAGTTAATTATCTCTCAATTATTAATTATCACCAGAAAATTTTGGGATTTTATTTAATTTATCACGATGGACCACTACAACTTCACCTAAAGTTACCTAAAAGTGCTACCTGAAATGTAGACTGATCTGGTTTAATCCCTATAGCTTTTTCTTCATATTAAACTATATGATATATGTAATTGAATTTTAGCTCCGGATTCTAATTTAAAAGTTAAGGGTTTCCAGAAAAACCTGTTTTTATTATTTAAAGGTACGATGATATTCTGCGTAAAAATGAAAATATGTGTATTATTTCTAATGTATTTTAAAGCTGCATTTTTTACTTCCGTAAAACGAGTTTTTTTCGAACGCTTTCCTCGTTTTAATAGTAGTGGTGCCTGTACCGTTCAGCCAACCCGTTAAACGCGTAAAGTTAAAAACCTTCTTGCCAAAAACCAATAATTAATTGAAATTATGAACTACTTATTAAATTGTCATTGCATTGATTTATATATTTTTATTTGGGAAAACGACTCAGTTCTAGTCGAAGTGTCCTATATGCTGGATCTGGAACTTCGTATTAACAAATGTTGTACTTAATTACAGTACTATCTTGCATAAAGAATTATACGTGATGAAAACGCAAGCGTGTTGTATCTTGACTATACTTGCCGCGGGGTCAAGGACACTAACTGGCGCGTCTTAAGGTGATGCTTTGGAAAGGCTCCTGAATGACCGTCGCCCTGGGTGGCCGTGACTTAGCAACAATAACCTTGATGAACCTTTCTTGAGATCTTTATCGTGGCGATCCCGTTGATGAAGCGCTCATAGGGGTTTTAAGCGATGTCCTACCAAAAGAGGTACACGATAATACTTTGTAAAACGTAAATCAATAGATGAACTCACTGTTCCCGTTGTAGAACAGAACTTAATCCTTGAGATTGAATGCCGTAAATTTAAGGCTTTGCTTTGTTAAATCACCAAGAAGCCGGCAGTGTATTTAATAACTATAAAACTCACTAGGCTCAACATCTTTCCACAGTTTCGATATCAGGTATTGTGTATTTACAGACCGACTGACTTAAGACACAGCTACATGCACGTTGCACGTGCAAAAACTAAATAGCGCATTTCAGCCAAAGGATGAGCTGTTTCCAATATTCCTTTATTTTATTGAGTTTACTGTAGTCTACTAATGTACCATAGGTACTTCTATTTTAAAGAACTTCGTGTAATTAATAGTTAATTCTGTATGTTTTGCTTTTTAAATATGGAATTAATTATAATAATTCAAACCCATGAAGCGCGGGATGTGCACCGGAGCTACGCATGTGGAGCTATTAAAAGGCTACGAGACCCGACAAGAGACGGTCAGCACAGCAACGCGCAGCGAACTTTTTTACACTGTCATTATAGAGAAAATCCGTTTTACTACGCGTTTTACTACGAAACAACAAACAATGCCGACAAAGCCCATTTCTGTTTAGCACTTATACAACTCTAATGGTCATTTCGGCACAATTTACTGGTAAAACAGAAGGCAAAATTACGTAAATTGTGTTCTACTAATTCAAACTGGCGCCTTAAGGACTAACTAAATTATGAATTCCATATCAAACCTTACGATTCTATAGGACTTTTTTAATCTTTTAATACTTCAAGTGGTCTTTTTTTTTATTTTAAAGAAAGTAGAAACCACTCTGCGCTGCTCCTTATAAGCTTTTAGTGAGTAAGCTATATGAATTTTTATTAAAAAGAAACGACTGTTGCATTAAATAGTGGGCTCTCATTAGCCGTACATTAAATATATTGCATAAAATGATGGATTCTGGATTTTTTTAGTAGCTGCAATTTTTAATGGTTACTTTATCAGGTGCGCTATTATAATTAATGAATAGCAGCTGCTTAAGCAGGATGCTTGTGGGTCTCGGAAACTTACAAGGAATTCACATTTTTACCATAAATTATGACTACTATTTGATTACTGACGACTAAACGGTCCCGCGAATAGAGAATTTTTAAAGCTGCCTTTTTAGTGACAATACAGACACCCTGCAAATATGTGCGCAGAACTGGAAAAACACTTAGGTCACTCTTGGCTGGTAAATATTATTAGAAAATCTAGTTGCAATGGACTTTTACTGGTGCTTATGTCCAAGTAAAACAGCTAGAATACCATTTCGTAGTTAACAACTTCAAAATGTACTTAGCGTTAGTTATCCGAGTTTTAGCTTATTCTCAAAATAATATCCCAATGACACAGAGTAGTTTGGCTTCTGTCGCTTGTACCTGCCAGTTCTCCTATACCTGTAGAGACTTTAAGTTTGTCATCCTTACTTAGCTGTATTTAGAAAAACCTTTTTTTCTACGTTTCTACATCGTGCATTTAAGTCAGCCCTTGTCTACTGCCTACACGGTTTAATCGGCAAACACAGAAAACCACCGTTTCCGATCCACGGCTCTTTTTCTTTTCATCCTTGACAGCTTTCGTCATGTTTACTGTCTGGATGACAGAATTGGAGAGAACTTTTTGTTGCCTCCCACTTTAGCGTTATTTTCACAGCTTCACACTTCCGCCTATTTCGCAGCCTGTTTCATAGCGAGAAACAACACACTGTGAGGGGCAATAGAGCGATGCCTTGGCACAAATGTCACCATTGAACCAATCAAAATCGGGTTGTGTGCTCGTTCTACTAAGATTACTGCGCTGTTGTTAGTCAGCCACGATCCTTTTTGCGTCCGTTCATCCCGATAACCAATCTACTATTCACCAATTGCTGTTTTCCTGTTGGAAACAAAGCAATGCAACACAATAATTCTATGTTGCCAAAACGAATCGTCACAACAACTTATATACAACTGCGGCTAGATTCGTGATTGACGTAAGATACGAAATTGACGATGCTAATCTAAAAGCAGAACTAGGTCCAACAGCAGCTGCGACATCGCCGCTGTGACGCCGTGCTGCTGCTGCGTGGTTCCACGCCACGTACTTAGAAGTATCACACCATAACTGGTGGAAGGCATACGTTCTGTTCGCGCAAAAAAACTAATCATATCCACTCTCGTTTTTTCGAAAGTTTGTTATTTAACTGCAATTTATGGTATAGAACTGTTCGTAGATAGGCAATTTGTTACAAAAGTTTTATAGTATCTGTTAATACCTCTAGGTGTGACGCTTGGGGTTTATTAAAAGGGTATAAAAACTTCTACTAAAGAATACATAATCATATGCAGAAACAAACTAATTTGTTTTAAGGATAGTTTATGTTTTAAAAAAATGACAACAGAACAGCAGGCATTATATAAAGTTACATAATGCAATAAATAATTGGAATGATATGACTAATCTGACTTATTAACAATCGCTATGCCTCAATTTATAGAAAATTATAGTGATCGAAATACGTGCTAACTGATTGACTGACCATCGTTCTTAATCAATCAGTGATTCACTTGAATAGTGTAACTGTTCAAGTGCTACTTAGCCATAACATTTGAAAGGCTTTTCCATGAACAACAATGCGCTTCAAAACCGTAAAGAAAGTAATTGCATATTCTCAGATCTACTGGTAAAGTTTTAGGTTATTTAGAACCTATTTCGAACCAAGTAGCAAAGTGAGTTTAGTGAACAATGGTTTCACAGCACCAGACGAATATGATGAATACATTAATAGCGCATAATACGTCAGACTTTAGCCATTTAAAAAAGATTTAAGGTCTGCATGGGGCGTTTTTACAAGGCGTAATACTTTGAGGCGGGACCATCGACTTCAGACATTATTCAATACTAACTCAGGGATCCTCTATTAAGCAACGATACAAAACCATCCTACCAAAGTGAATCCTTTTTGCCGAACCACTGCCCTATACTATCGTGGCTTTATCAAGCAATAACACGTTCAAGCAAGTGCATTTCCTATCGCTTCCCTTCAAACAGAGGCTTTAGCCTTGCATTATTTGTGCCGTAAATGCATCAGTGCAACTCTAGAAACACGTCATCACTGAATCGCACGCCCCGAAGATCAACATTAGGCCAATAAGCTCTTAATTATGTTATGCGATTCATACGATGCCATGATAGCACACAAGTACGCTACAGTTTACCGAGTCAATCGTGTTCCTAGTAAGAGCGTCAAACACAACCGCGTTGGTAAACAACTTTAAACGTATCTAAAGGATGTAAGCTTCACTTGTATTCGCTTCAGTTGTACAAAAATTGTATTCCAAGCGACGCCATGGTCGTGTCGATACAGCTTTGAACATCGCTGTAGTGGGCGGACGTGAGATCAGATCACTTCCAATGAAGGTGAAAAACCTTAAATGATTATTGCTTACACATTACACACAGCACGCTTTTACGATTTTCCGAAAAAAGAGTTCGTAGAAAGCAGAGGAAGCTTAGTAAATGATGAAGTAAGTTGTTACTAGACTCGTTGTCTATGCGTATTAAAGTTAATAACAAAGAGTTTATAGTGAAACTCAATGGAAACAGAGAAAAATGTGTATGAATGGAGAAGAAAATTTTAAATAAGGACAAATCAATAAACAAAATTATCTATTACATACGAGTATTTTCTTTTCGGTTCGAAAAAAGCTCATGATATACCGATGACTCCGCGGTATTTTCAGCCTTATGAGTTGTCTGATACCGAATAGCTGTTGTCCCAAAGCATAAATGTTGCGTTTCTTTTTTTGAATCAAAAGATAGATTTTTCCACGAAACTTATGCGGTGCCTTGCAAGAAACCACGATGCCATGAACTAGATTTCGATTGATTGACGAACAAGTTGGTCTAAAAGTACACTACTATTGTACTCGCTATTTCTTCCTCACAAATATAAATGGATAAGCTTACGCAAAAGGAATGCAATTGCGTTCTATTAGCTACTGCAAAGCTAATAAGAAATTGATAATCCCTTCCATATCCAGCTTGCTCTATGAATGTCAATTCGTTGGTGTTTTTCGTAAATACCGGATCGTAAAATCATAGTAAATGTTGAAGTCGTTGTAGACCACTGTAGCAGCCGCGGCGTTTACATGCCTCGTTCCTTAAAATGAAAAAAGACGTAGACAATTTATTGAAAATATTTTTAACCTTAATGCCTGAAATACATAATCGGAGGTCTAAAAAGCAGACGAATTAAAAAATATATACATAAATAGGTAAGCCATCGATCAACCAGAAGCTACGTCGAACATTCCTTTATCGATAGACGTAAGAGCGACTGACCTACGAAGTAAAGCCTAAATACAATATAGAGGCAAATATGCTCAATTATCATCAGGACGCCAATTATCATTATGTTTACCCGAGGAGCATTTAGATCTTTGTCTGAATGATGTCGCGTTCCATTAATCGGTGACGCACATTGTCAACTTGCCTTACGCACGCAGACCCCAAGCGATGTCAATTGAACGTAGGTCAATCACGCACGAATCTGCGAGCATTCTGTATGTTGCCGGTATAGTAATGTGAAGTAATAACACATAATAAACAGCACGAAAGATAAGTTACTTGCTGTAAAAAAGTGCTAGATTAGGATGAGCAATGCTTTTAATCAAGCAGTAATGGAACTGAAGAAAACGGAAATCCGTTTCTAATACGCTTATTGCACGAAAATAGGAATTTTATTTAACCGAACTTGTAGGTTATCTCCTCCGAAAAAAAGATCACTCAATATTTCCCTATTCGATATGTTTTATAGGACATCATGTACTTGTCCGTCACATATGTGAATTCGATACGTTTTTCTTGTGTATTTAAAAGCAATGGGACAGGTATATATACTGATAGGAACAATAAATACAGATATGTATTTTGAGTCGGATGTTACCAACACTCTGACGAAGTAAAGGTTTTGATTTTCTACTTACCACCTTTAGCCCCCTTGCGGAAAAACCACATTTACCACTCACATTCGCGTTACATATACAAATGCAAACAGCCCTTTCGTTCCGTGATAGAAACATCAATTGCCAATTAGGTAATTGAGCCAGTTTTGTTCGAAGAGATCGCTGTGTTGCTTCAGTCAAGCAGACAGTCAACCTATTTAAATGCAAGGCTGTGTTTGTTGTTTTCCCGGGACGCATCCATATCCAGCCGTAGATCTTGCCCTGAGAAAATGAGAACATCTAAGGCATAATTTCATAACAATACCATGTATGGAATCCTTTAATTCCTCCTTGACACATACGACACACAACTTAATAAAGTTGCTTAATCCATTTTAGGAATGTCGTCCCCACCATTCAGCAGTGTTTACATAGCGGCAAGCGTATCTACAGGAAATAGCAAGGCCCGATTTAGCCTCACAGTTGTTGACACATTGCAGCTGACTTCGCTGGGTGAACATTAGAAATGTCTCACAAACGCAGAGGGCCCGAGGAAAAACTGTTTGTTCGCAACTGGCAATACGCTATGTAGATACCACTGTTATGGACAACGTAGCAGCAGCAAATTTTTCGTTTGGTTGAAAATTTCTCTGAACGAAGGCTGTGAATTGGATAGTTGGCTTTCCCTGTTGGGGAAACTAATATATATAACAAGCAATGTAAAGTCGACTTATTTAAGGGAATCCAATGAATTGATATTGTGCAAGGCTTCACTGTGACCTTCTTTGCTACCTGCCACAGAGAGGAATTGAGATAAGCAGCTAAAACCGTAATTGTCTTTAAATGACTTTTATTTGCAGCTCCGTGATGGTAATAAACTCTATAACACTTTATTTTGGCGGCGGCCAGTTTTTAAAAATTAAAAAATCTCGAGAGGCTATCTCCATTTATACGTTGCTAACCTACAAATCCATAATCCGCTCTAGTGTAATTGTTTAAGGTGGGTACGCTGTTAGACACGTTAGCTACTATCAATTTAATGGTGGTAGAACTGCGATTTACAAATCCCCTTCACAGTACATCCATTCACAGCCATCGTAAGTAGCACGGAGGTATCATAGGTAACAATTCTGCGTTCACCGTGAAAAAGATGAAGTTTTATCGACTTTTACACAGGCATTGTGTTTAGCTTCAACGCAAAGTTAGAATATTATGCCGTATAGCAGTTCCCACTGTAAAGCGATTTCTTTTTCTTTAAGATCAGCTCTTTGAGAATATGCTACACTGAAATCTCAAAAGTGCTGATTTTCATTAGTCATACTTCGATCGCAATGGCAACCTACGTTTAGGATCGCCAACTAAAATATCATTTAATCTATTCATAGAGTTATTCTTCCACGAAAACAAATCATTCATTTGTATCAAGAGCTTCCGCACACAATAAATATCTGGCTCTATACAAAATATAGTAGGGGGAATCACGTAAGCAGAAAAAACAATGCTCTGGTCACTTACTAACGAGTTAGGTCAGTCAGTCAATTGTCTCTTGGAAGAATCTCGAAGCTACCGACATACTGAATGAGTGGAGTCGAAGTCAGAGATTACTACTAATACGAAGATTCATATGCAATAATTATCCGTATTGCCATTGCGCTAAGGTCATATACATATCTGTGTAAATAGTAAGTGTACCTATGACCTGCGCACGTATAAATTCGCATATACATGACTATACCTGTAAAATTGCGAATATAAGTGGCTAGAACATCTTGCAGTTCTGTCTTCACAAAGATTGGTTTGAAAGCATTAACGTTTTAAGCTGATCAAAAAGCTAGAGATTTTCTAAAATCCTTCATAATTAATAGCTCATCTACCGTCGAATCATTCAGGAACTGTAGGATGCCCATTAGTGGAATTTAGATGTGTTCGAAAATAGATAAATTTCTATACTTAAAGAGAACCATACAAACTAGGAACAAAGGTTACACTTCACAATAGAAACTTATCAAAGCCATTTTTCTACCGCTCCGTATCAAAAAAACATTAAGAGTAATTGTATTAACCCAGTCTAGCGGTCCATTTTTAATAAATCCGGTAGGGATGTCCAAACAAGGGTTTTAATCGAATCAGAATACAATAAAATATCCTATAAAAACAGTTTAAGTTAAGCTTGTGTGGTCTTATATTTATAAAGCATCAATTACCACATTTTCCGAATACTCTTTTTACCTATTAATAGCATATACGGCCGCTTTCGTAATAGTTAAAACCATTGTAATTATACCGCCGCTCTGCCTTGACGTGTTGCTTTTCCATCGTGGCAGAAACAGCTGTCCTATTAGCTATCGTTGTAATGTTTGGCATGGTGGTCGTACTGTATTGTAACTTCTTGCATGCTTCCATCGATCGCATTAGTCAGCTACGGAGCTGTGAATGAATGGCGTTCACGTCGATGCATCACCGTGCGCCCATTGGCGTTCAGCGTGTCGACCGATTGCTGATGGTGGTAAAGAAATGGATGACGGGGGATACCGGCGTAACGATGCCCAAGGCCAAAACGACACAGGGTCTCAGCTTCCGAGCTGACATAACAATCAGTAACATCAGCAAGGTCCGGGTGCGTCATCACAATCAGGAGCAGCAGCGACAACCCTCTGCAGTCCGCGACAGTGACCGTAGTCGGTAGTGTTATCGTTTGTAGTCCCAGCTGCACAGGCAGCCATTGCATTCATTTACGGCAGCGGCAGCAGCAGCAAAACACGTATTATATTAGGAGCTTGCGGGTGGCAAGATGCATTGCAAAAACGATTAAACTATACAAAGACAACGTCGCCCGCTACTGCAACAGCGGCGGCGATGGAAGCACCCACAACTATCGCCGCTATCACCGCCGATTGCGCATAAAGCAACTTCGCGACCACTTTCTACTGGTCCTATAGCTTCTTGGCTCGTGTTCCGTGAAGCAGACAACTGGTATGCAGAAGCGGAAGGTTTGGGCTTTGTGCAGGCTAGTCTGGGCTTTGCTATTCTAGTGCCTGTTTCCCCGCGTTATACTTAGCACTAGAGGGACGTATCAGTGGTTATCTGCTTTCTCGCAGAATGTAACGGAGGCAATGTGAATGAGCCTCTGTGTGAGTAGGTCATTGGTTTGCAACTAGACATGAATGTATGGAGAAGCGGAGGCAATATCGCATTGTAGTTGTCATTGTTGTTATAGTTACGATTCGTCGACGGCAAAGTTCAAAACAAAAGGCTAAGTTCGTAAGCCGTAGATCACGATAAACATTTCTGACGACAGAAATGCTACCGAATATATGGCAAAGCACTCTACGGAAGCGAATGTGACTATCGGACCCAAAACTACACAAGTAATAAACGTTTGATTAACAAACCGTATCTAGAGTATGAACGAATTCTACAATCGGGAAAAAGTCAGGTCGAAATATGATAATGAACAGGCGTCAGTAACAAAAGTTGGTACTTTACTAGCGATGCAATGTTATTCGTTTAGACCGTTCGTATTTGGGTAGACAAAATTGACGTCAGCTTATCTAACATTCACCTACGAGAATTATTAAGATGATTTTGGCTTGACGCTATAGAAAAGTCACAGCGCACGAGGTCGATCAGGAAACGGTCGCAAGACCAATAGATTCGAGGCTACAACAGAGTAGCGGATAGCAATGAGACAAGACAGTCACAGTTGTATCAAAGAATAATAATACAACAGATCTGAGAAGATCCACGGCGAAGAAGAGCCAGTAAAAAGAGAACAAACCAGAAAGGACGAAATCGCATTGAGTTGGCGCCCGCCGGCAGAGATGCGTTATTTTCTCTAACTTGTTTCGTTGTTATTGCCAATATTGTCGGCTTCGCATGAACGAATAACAGATTCTTCAACAGCCGACGTATCTTGTTTATGGATTACAATACATCACACTGAAAACAACTTGACGGATACACATGAAGGTCAGGGTAATCGCCATTTTAATATCATATATTAAACTCCTCTTTCATTTATATCCGGAGGAGAAAAGACATACACGGTGGCGGTCACCACAGGGAAAAGTGAAGCAAGAGAATGAAAAAGCCCGATATTATTTACCGAAACAATAATCATTAACTAGAAGCAAGAACATGCGTATATTAATATATCTACACAATAATGCGCTAATGAGTGACTACAAATTGCTGATAATTGGCTTTGATTTTAAAACCGTACTACCGCAAGAGATTTACACATTTGGCCACGACTTCATGTAAACAGAAATAAAATACTCAAACCAGACCAGTATTTGCTCGACACATGGTTTTTACCGTGATTTTATACTTGTATTAACAGCGCTATAAATGTACATAGTCATAAAACAAATACTAGAATAATAATAGAACGTAGATCTATATTAAATTGTCGAAAAAGTATTAACCGGTCTAAGCCAAAATTGAAACGAATCTTTTTTTATAGTTTAAAATATTTATCCTGAACTAAATATGCCCCATCTTGATAAAAGGTCTTCTACCTTTTTTCGGGTAACATCATGATTCCAACACTTCGGAACTTCTGTTCTGTGAGTGAAGTAGCTTTTGTATCCCTCCATTGAAACTAAATTAACACCATTAACGAGGTTTTACGGAGGCCAAAACAGATAACAGTTTGATGGCGCAAAATCCAGGTTGTTCGGTGGATGCATTAAAATTCCTTATCCAAGTTCTCTTAATTTCCTCTGAGCAGTTAAATGTGGACGTGATCTGTTCAAAACGACAGCTTTCATGTTCACTAGTTATGGTCGATCTTTCCAAGGGCTTGCTGTAATCTGTAGTCAACAGAAGAGGTTTAAATCAATCGTTTTGCTAGGCGGCAGCAACTCATTCCACGGTTTGTTTTCAATCCGACCTGATACATAGCATCACTTTCTACTCTGGGCTTTGCCACCGACTATACAACACATTCTTTAAAATTATTTTGCATCAATTTGTGTGCCGCCCATATATTGGGCTTTTTTGTAGCCATTTGAATTGTACTTTCTAATACTTTAAAACCATTTGAAAATGCCATGCTTACTTATGTGACGATGATGTTCAACTTCCGCAATAATTTTATGAACTTTTTTCATAATTGGTCGACCATTTCGGGAAGTATCTTTTACATCGACATTTCCAGAGCGAATATTTATCATAGTTTTATAGATAATTTAAGTACAAGTTTATAGACCATTTTAGAAATTTATAATAATAAAATCGTTAGCATGGCGAAACTTTTAAGGAATTTTACTCATTCAATGCGCTCTATCCTAAGCCTGAATAAGGCATTTCAACAATTTTAGCATGTCTGTGACATTAACACAACTTGTATTTGCTGAGATGCAACTTCCGATCCACCTAAAAAAAATGGGCAATACTTCTTCGACAATCCAATATCTCGTGTACAAAAAAAAAAATTCATTAATTAAATTAATTTTTGATCTAGTGGTGAACGTCGAGGAGATCCTTTATATGGCATAAACAGAAACTCAAGCCTACATCTGTATTTAAAAATGATAACTGTGGTTCCGTTTTAGACAAGGTGAAACGCTGCAAACGAAACTTAATTTCTTATCAACAATAAACCTTTTTATATAATGGCTGCTTACAGACTAAAATGTTTTTCCAGTTAAGCATCTCTTATTAGAACCCGATTCTAAACGAAAAGGAAAAAGAAACAGAACCTATAGTTATTAGTAGGATACCCCGTCACCCTGATGTCAGCACGGGAAAAATGGCATTAAATTTACTTGAAGCGATAACAAACGTTGCACAAATAGTCGTGACAAATAGACGTGATGATGTCAACATGATCCTCTGATCAAGCCCAATGCATACGATATGTACAAACATTAATAACAAGAAGTCTAACTATCATATAAGAAGCTGAAGGGTGTTGCTAAATTTAATTCAGGACAATGGTAGCAGCAGCAAAAAAGTTGATAATTATACACACATATCGGCAAGACGGTAACCAACGCGGTGCCCTTACAGCTTCGCGCTTTGAGGGGTAGTGGGACCCTAATTCGAGTTGTAAAATATTCTTTGCTATTCAGCTGTTCTGACCAAACGATCTTTTACTAAAACTGGTCGACTTTCGACGGTACTCCAAATCACTGCTTTTGAAATATCGAAAGTGGCCCAGCACATTTGTTGATTAAGTTACTTAGCTTGGTTGAGTAGCGTTATATTTTTAACAAGCAAATATCTCGAAGTCAAGCAAACATTGGATGGATCTGACTGCATTGAACCCAATGATGGGTTTACTGAAAGGTACTTTTGCACTTGGCTATACTATGCGCTACAACCGTCATCGGTGGGCAAAGTACAGTATAGAACCGGCTGGGAACACATATACAGATATACGTTGCTGTATAGCGCTATATGCTCAACGTGTATTTTACAAAGCGCTTCCGACGCAAAAAAGTGCAAAGGATGGCGGTAAAGGCCGCTAAGGCGAACAGCAATTCGAGTCTAAATCGGTGAAAAGTACGGACGAAGTCTCAAACTGCTTCGTAAGTGTGCCATGTAAACATAAGGCAATAGACAGACAACTCGCCGGCCATACATTCACAGCGTGAGCTGCCGTTCGTCGTGCTGCTTCTCATACTACGTGTTCATAACAGAATGTCTCCGTCTTTTTAGGTATCTTTGTTGTATGTCCATGTGTATGAGAGTGTGTAGAGACCAACGATCGCCACAGCCATTACTACGGCTGCTATCGCCGCCACCATCATCAACGTCACGGATATTCTTGGAGCAAAACCTCACTCACAACTGATGGCGGCCAGTACCATCGTAGTCTTAATCGCTACCGGTTTCCTTCTAGCACCCGAATTGATCCACAGAAGAACTACTCCATATACAAGAGAACTACCATCTCTGAACCGAGTCACACCAGCCACAATATGTAGCACTCCCTCGCACAGACTAGAATAGAAACGTTTGTCACCATGGATAATCAGATGATGATAATGATGAAGATTATACACAAATCCATCGATTTTTACCGGCTCGGTTATGACACACAACGATACAAGACGGCTCGAAGCATTATCTGTCGTCATCACCATCCGTCGCGGGCTACCGTGGTTACCGTACTGGCGACATCTTGTTGTACAGTGTCGAGTATTCAACTTTCTCTCTCTCGCTCTATTAAATATATATATATATATATATATATATATATATATATATATATATAAATGGATCGTGTTATGCGATACACGACCGTCCCGAGTAGTGTCAACTGCTAGTGTCGCCTATAATAACGGCAACTTCCAGATTAACGAAAACCAGAAGCGAACTCACTGGGAGAGAGAGAAATTCTAACGGGGGCAGCAGCACCATCAATGTATTTCTATATACCATAGCTTTATCATGATACGCCCCAACCACATCTGTAAAAGCCAGACAGACAAATACCCAGCAACAGCGCTAGCAGTAAGAATAATACGCTGTGATAGTACCGTAGATCATGTCGACCAGTCGAACCAACCGACCGCATGACGACGACCGCAAGGAGACGCACACAGTAGTTGTTATATAGGTAATAAGTAGCATGAGGCGACTTATTGGCTCGTTGAAACGTAGCAGCGGTGTTTGTCATCTATGAGCAATATATCACATGAAACCGAACTCACATTACGGCCTGCGGAGATCTTGCGGCCGATCAGATGCTTTCGCTTGCTTCGGACGGGAGCTGCTAATGCAGTTTGTTGATCGCACTGTTGTTGAGCATCGCCCAGGTTAAATGTGAGACTTGTAGCTAAATAAGGCTTGCAACCGACAACAATGGGGTACCGGTAAGGTTAGCGAGCTAGAACTTTGTTCACCGACGAGTCCGAAGCAGCGTTTCCTCGCCGTACTCCATTCACTGCCAACATCGGCTGCACACACAGCTGGGGCCCTAAGGGGGTTTGCTCGCTTTTTCGTTCACGACACGCACTCTGGGGCCAAAACACAGAGCCCGCTGACCAACAGCAGACACAGCTACCCAGGGTTTCTGTCGACGTGGTACGTTCAAGACGATCGAAGGCTGTGCCGGTACACGGATAAGCAGCGGCGGCACTATTGTGGCACGATCCACTACGACGATCCGTCTTTCAGCACTGGCTGGTTGTTGATGCCACTACAACTGTAACAGCTGCGGTTACATTTCAGCCAAAGAGACGGGAAACAATAACAACAACAGCGGCTGGTGTGGGTACGAAATCATGAACGAACGGGCGACCCGTGGCGGGGTGAAACTGATATAAAACAGGAACAACATTCGGAAATGATCGTCTGATTGGGTGTAATAACTGAGTAGAATCATTTGTCTGAATAATGGAGGCTAGCGCGAGGTTAGTGCAGAGTTATATTGAACAGAAGTAAAAATAATTGTTAGACTGATAGTGAGTTCTGTAAGGAATAAAAAAAATGGTGGTAAAGTAAATAAATAAATCGAAACGAAGAAACTGGCCAATTGAGTGAAAAATGAAATAACAGGTAGTGGTTGTGCTGTCAACTTATATACCTCGTACTAGGTATATTAATGCGGGGCGTGTATGGAAACGTATGTACAGTCAATGTCATCTACATTCAACAGGATTACAAAAAAATCTTACAATAGCTAAACTGCAGCATTACCTAGGCGCGCCTCATGAAGTGGTACAAAGAAAATTTAAAAAAGCTTGAACCGAGGTAATTTGATTGAGTTTGTAGACATAGTAAATGTGAGCAGCTGTAATAACAGGAACTAATGAGTAAGGGAGGTTGAAAGTATGATTATACAACATTTTGTATGCCACTGTCTGACCACCAAATGAAAATGATTAATTATTTTATCGACTTACGAAAGAAAAAAACTAGATATCAGTGTTTCAAGCGTCACCAACGACACTTAAAAACGACACAATTTGTATACTCTTTTTAATGCATAGTAGAGTCATTTTTCGCATGAAGTCATTAATGGGCTATTTGAAGAACTACAAAACAACGCATTTCGCCATTACCACACAGTTTAATCAATGACTAAAAGAAAATCTAAGACAATCAAGCTAATATTCTGGAAGCTCCAAACTATTATTAAAAAAAAGGCTGACCTTGATCCTCTCAGCCCGAGGCAATGTGATAAGCTTGAATTTTCGTTGGTTTTTTTCCATCACGCGCATGGCCGTCAAGTTCCAAATCGTCAATCTGATTTGAAATAAAGTCAAGTATAATGTACGGACATTATACTGTTTAGGATATAGGTATAAGCCGTGTGAAATGATTTGCAATAATTTTCGGGAAATGCGCTGTTCCCGTGAAAATGAGACTGATTCGTAAAAGATAGAATGCTAGAAAAACAATTTTCACACAATTCAGGACTTGTGGTCACTTATGATCTGTGAAGAAACAGTTGCGACAAACATTTGTGCAAAAGATAGGACCGACCGATGTATTTAAACCGACAGTGCAGGAAGTGTCCCTACAACGGTTTAAATCAAGGGCGGGATTTCCTCCTACTAGTAAATTAGCTCTTACATAACATATCTCTCAATACGGTTGCTTTTCATCAGCATTAAAGGTATTTCATCTTTTGTGAAAAGTAATGAGCGGATGAAAAATTAATTTCGCTGAATAATAAAAAAAGACGAAAAATCACACTGAAGAATATTGAAAAGACGGCTAATTTAATCAAATACCTTTCTGGAATCCAAGAAAATTATTTTTACATACTACTAGTATTAGACAAATCGAAGTTTTGGGAAATTTTCTTGATTGATTTGCTGCCTTTTTTTTTCGCATACTCGCAATCCGAATACGAATGTGTCTTTCATTTGTTTGGTCACGACGTAGGGTGGGGTATTTTCTAGTAGACTGATCTTTTACAAAAAAAATGCAGGTATGATTTCGTAACCAGTAATTATGGAATGAAACAAGTCATTTTCCAACGACATTTTCCATATATTTTCCAAAAATAGACCTAGTATCAAAAAATAACGTTTATTGTCACACAGTTATTACCTAAATATTTGCACGGTTAGATTGCACAGTAACACAACACTGATTCTATATAAGGTTTGACTTAAACCCAGTTAAAATTGTTGTGATGTTTTATTATTAGAAATAAATCCAGAGCTACGGTGCCAACTAACTTAACGTTTTAGACTAGAACCTCTGCGCCAATGTGCTACCACATAAAGCACACTAAGCCCGAACCGAAATTTCCTTTCAAACAGTTATGTCGATAATTAACGCAACACTAATTTCAACTGTTGACAAACGAACCATGGTAAAAGCTCAAATTTTAAAAAATATTGGATTTGATCGAAGAAACTATTCTACTTCCATAGATTTCGTTCGCTCTTATCATTTCCAACGAAATTTACAATGCACCGCGTCACAGTTCAACGCAAAATTATATATGCATATCTTTATTCGATTCAATAGTATATTAAACATTTCCAATTTTTCGTCGCTACTTCTGTTAGATAATCCACCACACGGCTGGCTTCCAGCATAAAACAAAGTGTGTACGATCAGATTCGACCCCAGAGTAGCATGTGTCCGTCAACTTTAGCAGACAAACACCTTACCTCGTATGCCATAACGGGGATTTTTTTGGCTAAATAGTATATTAACGATGAATACAACAACCCTGAGATCTTTCCTTCTTAAAGATAATCTTTCAGCTTTTTATGCTGATAGGCATTGAGAGAAAAACGCTGTCTGCCTTACTTGAGAATATTAGGCGCTGCTTCCTATGCGAATTCTTTTTTGCCACATTTGGTACTAACTTAGATTTAATTTTTATAATTTATACTTGTCGTGTGATATTATCAACTCATACTGAATTCCACCGTATCTGAAGTTGAAAACCATTTTCCACTACTGCGGTTATCGTTGGAAGGTATCTATCATTTGAAGCCACGAAACAAATTTTTTAACAAATACAGTTTTCCCGCTATAATTATCTATCACATCTCGCGGGCGGTAGTCTATTCAAGTATCTGCCTGTATTGACGTTTGGCACGTTCACGCCGCCGCTGGTCGTTGTGGCACCGCTAATGCACAACGCCCGAGACCCTTGGCTCCAGTTCTGCTATTGCCAATCCGTTCATCCATTACAGATTGCCGCCAAGCGGTCAGCTGCCCGCCTCCTCAGGCAGTGATGGTTGACTAAGCCAACATGAAGTTTGTTGCTAATGGCGGCAACTTTAGTTTGTCTATATTTATTTACCTCCCCTACTAAGGAACCGGCGGAGTTCCGCTAAAACATACAGGTGCATCCAGACGTAGTTTAAGACCAAAATCTTCCAGTTTGTTTTGGTTAAATTTCACCTCCTGTTTCTTCAAGTGCTGGCTCTCCTCAAAAAAACAGCAGTCACCGCTGTTTTTTTGAGAGATAGCATTTGAAAAAAGCATGAGTTCTCTCTTGCATGTTCGCTCTATTGTTTTCTGCACTTGTTATTAGACCGATTGTTGTTTTCTGTGGTTTCGATGCTGTTCCCCTGAGACGCAAAGGGTAAGGTGTTTGCCTGTTAAACTTAAAGACAGGTGGTGATCCAGGTTTAAATTCGGGCGTAGATACATTTCGTTCTAAGAAAAGCTTTAGGAATAATTATTCGTATTGAGCTAAGCCAGCGATTTGACGTCATGCTCAACCGCTTAAACACTAAACATATAAAACGGACAAGTTTTTTATGCTTTTGATGCTGCGGTTCTTTCTTCTGATGCCTATCCACTTTTCGGTGGCGTTCAAAAGGACCTGTGTCAAAAACAAAAGAAGTTGTTTTTGACTGACAGACTGGGGACTGTGTGTATAGCATGATAAAATCGGTGTGGGTATATGATTTGCTTGTTATTGCACTTATTTTACGATCACTATCTTGGCAGGTAGAGCTAACTGGTGCCGCAGCTATTAGCTGCTAAATACCAGTAAGCAAATAGATGACAACAAATAAAAGACGGACGTAAAGAGGAATGACAACACTTGTCCGGAATGCGGCGGCGTTTTGAGGAGATCAGTTTAAAAGCCAAAACAAAATGCAGCAGAAAAAAGAACAGAACACTACTGTTACCCTGTTCATAAAGAGACAGAATAACGTTAACGAAGATGACCGCTTACAATGGTGTCTTTTTAAACATAAGACTGTCACTTCTACATTGATATATTCGTACACGAACAGACACTAAAACTTATAGTAATTATATATGTAATGCAGGAAACTAAAAAAGAATTGAAATATTGTGTTGTATATTATGGTATGGATATAGAGCTGAGGTGAGTATGAGGCCTTTAGATGAACGGCCGTGTTTCCGTCATCACATTGTAAATCAGACGCCGAAGTAATGAGAGCGCTCCCAGCCATAGTCGATAATCAAAATGTATTCTTGTGAAGAGAACATGCATACGAAAGTTGTAGAATATTAATGTATTGATTATTTTACTTTAAGAGACTATCTAATTTAATATCTTAGCAGACTAGACTGACGTTAAGAAGACAGTGATAAGAAAAATTAAAGAAAGGTTAACCAAATCAGATAATAAAGCAGCTGGATTAAAAACATAACGCCATACACCTCATAACGTATGTAAATATAGTCGTTTTTCCAGATACACTTTACCGTATGAAAAATCAGAAATCGCCTGAATTTAGAAATTATGCTACATTTAGTGAGGCTTACTGGAGTTATTCCCTTTAATTTACAGTGCGATCGAAATTCGGGCGGGCTATCTAACACGAATTGTTTGTTAACACCAAGCAAACAGCTTTGAATATACGGTAGGAATAAACGCTAGGAAGCTTAAACAAGTTTCGAAAAGAAAGCGAAACTGAATGATAAAAAAGAAACGTTTTTTCCAAATAATGTTTTACCTAACACCAGAAAATGTCTCTTTCTGTATCATAGGTTGTTTTTTTTTTTGTTATATCATAGACGTAGTATGAGTAAACTGGATGAAGCGCTGATTTGATAAAAAAAAAAACCTGAAAGCATACGATGGTGTCAAAAATAATAAATACCTAAATTAATTAATTTCTCGGTTGTAAGTCAAATAACTTAGTTTTAAAAACCTATATTGTCTCGTCTGTTATGCGATATCTTTTAAGGTAAAGACAGATTTTGAACGTCTAGCACTGAGAAGTTCTTTTCTTGAATGAACAAATATAGATCTCAAGTACTTCCCATTGCTGATTTTATTTTTTTTTCTCTTAATTGCTATATATGTATATACAGATATATGTATAAATGTGTAAAAAATGTTATATTCAGTTGATATTTTCGTAGACTAGGATTTTTCTCAGTGATGTATATACATAAAAATCTTGGTCTACATTATAAAAATTATACATTATACAAAATGTCACTTTGTTTGGTCCAACTTAAGGCTGTCTTAGAGACGGAAGATTTGCTTACATAGACGAATAATCTGAAATTAAATTACCGCGCGTTCGAGCCCTGATATGCACTAACATATAATCATCACTCGAAGCTTGAACAGCTATGGTCCTAGATTAAGTTATTCATTTACAACCAAAAATTGGCCTTGTGTTATCTCACGGCTTGCCGCATAATTTTAGGCCGCCATCTCAAGTTTTATTAGCACCCACGTCGAAAGAAAACGGAATGACACACACTTTGTAATGGATTACTTAAAATCACACAAATCCCAATGTATAATATATAGCAAATTTGTGCTTTTTTTCGCACGAAAATCAATGTAGAAACTTCGCTCTACATCCAACAGCCGCTCGATCTGTACTTTGCTTACAAACAGCAAGCTAACCTGTAGCTTAAATGAACGCATTTAGTTTACTTCAGAAGAGTCCCGGTCAATAAAATGAAATCAGATCATCCAATTGTCATCTCTTTTAGTTATGCACGGACGTAAATAAGTTTTTTTAAATAACATTTTTCGGACCTTTGGAATACAGCAAAGCAAAATTCATGTGTTAAGTAATTTTTCTATACCTACTTACCCAAAATCATTCGCAAACCACGAACACATTAACCTAAACAGATAAATAAGTAAAAACAATATGTGTTTCTGGGCTGATTCGGAGTGAAAAATTGAGAATTAGTGAGTAGTGAGGTAGACGACGGTCTTGGTCTTGCACTTGGTCCACCTTAGACGTTATGCTTCGATAACACTAGTCGTACGTAAACTGTCTTATTTGAGCTCTCTATAAAGCAAAAAAAATTTTAAATAAGCATATGTTACTGTTATGTCAAACGAGTTATATAACAGCTATCACTCACAAAGGTAAAAAAATTCCTTTTTCAGATCAGTTTACAATGAATTTATGCACTTATTTCTCCGCGTTTGCCCCGTTCAATCAAGGCCTGGCTTGAGATCCTGCACTCATTGCAGATTTTGGCTGCGCAATATATGCCTGCTTTGTGATGCTGCTTCCCATGATCAATACCCGTATTCCCGCCGTTTGTCAAACACATCCAAGCCCGCCTACTTCTTACGTCTTTTTATTTGTATAACACCGCTCTGTTTATAAACATCAACCTGATAGGCGGCGCCACTCAGTTACACGGCAAGAGAAAATAGTTAGGTAGGCGCTTTGCCCCCCCAAATTATTAACAGCGGAGACAATGTTGCTCTTTTTTAGCAGACGCTTCGCAGAAGCTGTGGTAGCAATGGATTCTGTAACGACAGCAGCACGCCAGCAGAACTCGGTCTATGTCATGGAGCTCCGAAGCTAGAGAGAGTGAAGGAGACGAAGATCTTTTCCGATCAAAAAGTGACATTGCCGCCAGTCTCGTAAACTAAACGCTATTTGCTACTTTTTATAATAATCGAGCTGCTGCTTCTGAAAATATCTACCAATACTTGAAATCTCCGGGCTTCAAATAGCGGGTCATGCCGATTCGCTCGATACTCGCAGCACACAGCAGCCACTACCTGGACTTCTTATGTGCAAGCAGGGTCGGATACCGCAGTAATTTCGTCTGCTAAACACGTCTCTCCCGAAATGATCCTCGGTCTCCTGCTGTCTTGCGCTAGTAGTACGGGCTTGGTCGTTTTGTTGTATGGGGTCACTGGTGCTTTGGTGCTCCAGCTATTTCTATCTCGGCTCCTGCTAGTACGAAAATAAAAGTGCAAGTGTTGTGTACACGGTGCTCCTATGAGGCTGAGTACCGGTGCTGCTAATCGTTGTAGCAAGCTGCTGTGCCCCGTGTCGTGTGCTGGATACAGTACATACGACATCAGATTCTATTAGTAGCCAGCCTTACGTTGGCTAGCAGTGTTACAGAGTGCATGTGAGTGCTACGTGTCGCCGATCGGTAGATTGTCAACAGTGGCTTTCGGTTCCGCTTGCTTCCACAGTTGCGATTACGACATTTCGTGTATACGTATATCTGTTCTACGAATATTAGGAGTCCTGTTATGCTCCGTTGTGTTGTCAGAGATTGCTGGCTCAAGAAGCTGGCGAAGTCAGATCGGAGTTATGATTTGACGCTACGGACCGTAGTGGAGGGCGGTACTTCATAGAGTTCGTACATCTTGTAGCAATAACAGTAGTATAACACTGGTGCGGGTAGCCCCTGCCTACTTGTCTGCATGCCGATTTTGAGTAAGTAAAATGAATTTATCTAGAGCCTAGCTTGAGCATACCTAAGCTTTGCTCCCGCCTGGCCGGGCTGTGCTCTAGCTACCAACAAGGCATGCGTAATTTGCTAGCCGAATAGTTTTGGCTAACATTTATATCGGGAGGACTCCAGTTGGAAATAGTAGCTCTAGGAACTCTGGCCAAATCTTGTCATTGTCCAGCTCCAAAATGATGGCCCAAAACGAAAGCGAAACCAAAATCTTCTTTTACGTTGACGATGAGGAGACGCCTTATCTTGTGAAAGTACCGGTACCGCTAGCTCAGGTGACACTACAGGATTTCAAAGGCGCCTTACAACGCACCAACTTTAAGTTCTTTTTCAAGTCGCTCGACGCTGATTTCGGGTAAGTCCAACTTACAGTAACAGTTACTACCCATTTCTCGACAGTGATCTACCATAGATGTTTCTTCGTCAACTGATAGATCGATAGGATACGCTTTTATTAAGTGTTAATCTCAACAGCTGATCGTAATGTTTGTAGAGGTTGTAAACGATCTAGACACGCCGTTCAGAACCCACTTCGATGTAGTTTTCACTTGTTGTATCCAAGCATAACTCACCTCTGGAGTGCGTCACCTCTAGAAGGGGGAAGTCCTCACATAGAGAAGTGTTTATGTTAATTCTCTTGTATGTAGTCGCTAATTCTACGTTCGTGTTCTTTCAACTTAACATATATCTACGATTCTTGACTGTAATAGAAACTTTATTGATTACATTGAGAGCTGCATGCCTATATTGAGTTCACAAGTTTGCTATTAAACTCAGTAGATTTGACATCGTTTAATGGTTAAATGCCATAATTGTAGCTCTTTCGGGCGTATTAGCCCTGGGAGATTGTTACCCGAGGTGCCATCTTATGATTTGGTTTACGGCTGATTCAGGGCTAATTTACTTACTTTTATTAGCTTTGTACACCTTTGAATAAGGCAAAAACTGATTTGTAAGATCTAAGGTACAGTCTAGTAAAACCGTCGCAGTTTGCGCCATTGATTGGACGCTATAAATATTATTAATTATATACAGGGCGGCAGTGGGAATTTTAGAGCAACCCTTACGTTGACTTTCGTTACAGGTATCATCTGCATGTGCTGTATAGTGGCTCAAGTCTGTCTGATTTTTTAACATGTTTCAATGGCTCTTTTGGCTAAGACGTACCAGCTTCATTAAAAGAGGTTAAACTGAAGGTGATGTACGTGTCGATCTCACTTGGACCACCGTTCAGTTCTAGAATTACGGAGTGCAGGCTTTTGAAAAATATGCGAAAGTTCCCGAACATTGCATTCAAGCCAAGCCAGTAACCTTTAGCACCATAGATATACTGTATGGATTGTTACTGCTCTGTTTAACGTCTCAGTAACTCAGTGAAATTAATTATGAAGTATTTCTTTTTAAATGGAGCAATACAACCTGCTTACCGATCCATGCCTCAAAAACCATTTGAGTAACTTTCATCGAAGGTAATGCCTCTATAGTACCTTCAGGTCCATCAGTGAAAGCTCGGTTCAGCTTCAAAACAGCTTGCGTGCATGCGAGATGCTGTTCACTGAGTGGATTGCGCGGGACCTATATAATAGGTGGGTCACGCCAAAGCTAGTGCAGGCTGCGATTCTGCTTTCATGGATATAACCTTTGTAGATCAGATGAACTCGCCTGGACATCTGCAAAGCACGGTCATGCCAACGGTCATGCCAGACATCCACGTATAACTATACAATATAAACAATGAAATGTCTTCTAATGAATCCTCTTGCCATAGGAGTTGTCTAATTGTAGCTTTTTCGCAAAGGGCGCCTTTCCTTTCGATTAAAGCGTAATATGAGGAGCACCTCTTTAAGAGTAGATAGCTAAACCCTCCATGACTTTATTACTCCAAAGGTACCTGCTAAATTTTAACTAAACTAGCAATTTCAGTAATTCTAACCACTTCCCTATTGTAAAATATGTTCTAACTTGATTTTATTTCCATAAAACGTCACAGTCCAGCAGTCATTTAAAAGGCCTCTTCCGTAATACGACCGAAGAAACTCGATCACGTAATAACGATAACCGACTCGATGAAAGCTTTTTTGCCGCACAGCCACTCCGCCAGGCAAAAAAGGATTAAGGAAGATTCTTTATTGACCCAGACAACAACAGTTAAACAAAGAAGAATTTGTACTTCTTGCCGCCCAGATGATAGCAGGAAACTTCAAATGCTAATCTATTGGACACGGCTTGCATTTTTTGCACTGTTTTAGCTTACCGAATTTATCAGGAATACCATATGACAGGCAACCGTGATAATGAGACGGCTACGACTCCGTAAAATGTGAATCCCTAATCGATCCGAAGCAGAGTACTTACTGGGCATACTATGCAGCCTATCAAGAGCTAGGGAAATTGGTTTCAAGGTAGCAGCTTATTTATCAGTCAGCAGCACATCCAATGCCAACATGTCTCTCGTTTAGTGCGTGGTACTTTAGGTGTTGCCGAAAGTTGTTCTAGAAGATGATGCGCCGTAGGTGCATGCTGCGACATTCGAATGCAACATAACACTGTTATTACTCCTGTTTTTTTTTCTCTCTTTTTGTTGGCTTATGCTATGTTTTTCACTGTTGATAATGCTGCTCGCTCGAAACAGCGCTGAGACATACGACCATAACACAACAACGTAATAAACTAGAAAACAAAGTAATTAAATTACTATCAATGGGATGAGGTGATCTTGCTGACGTGCATGGTCTACGTATTATTCCCGACAGCAGCCTACCGGTCGAGCCTTCTTCGCTGGTAACTGCTTGAATCGCGTTACATTTAAGTTGTCATAATCGTTCATTCAGTGGCACATTGCCCAGTTTAGTGGAACAAAAATTTATTATGTAGTGCGACAGTTGAACGCTTTGTTTTCAGTAATATATTTCTTAGTGAAATCGAAAATTTAATGAAAATCATTAAAGAATTGCATATTTTAGATGCTTATCATATTTTGTTATTTTCAAGCGTGAAGAAAAGACATTATACAGCGTCATTGTTTATCATAATTAGAATTGCTTGTGGCTAGCTATTATACAATGGGTACTCACTACAACACTTATTATTAGGTTTCCACACACGTTTCACTGCTTATCTTTAGCCATTTGCGTATAATATCATATGTAATTATGCAGCTTGTTTTGTATTCCTCTAGTGCTTTTGGTCTGTATGATTAATCCTTACTTCAAGCGTATCCGCTCGTTGGTTAGTAGGTTGAAGTAGTTTCAGTACGGCGGAAAAATAGCGAACGTTCAATTTATTATCTACCCCGTTATACTTCCCTGATTGCTTACAGGGATGAACGATAACTATTATCGGTTACAACGTTTTGAAACATGACGCTTTATTAGTGCAAACTATTGCTGGTTGTCTTTACGTACCGAGAGTAACGGCGAGTTCCAAGGAGCGAAGTGATGCATCGCAAATACAAAGAGAGAAAGTGTGCGCTGGCTGGAAGAGTCAAGATAAAAACAGGTCTTCGCCTTCTTCCTGCCTCAATGGGGGATCCTTTTCTCCTATACAGTGATGCTGGCATCTTTTCTAGTGGAATGCACCGACGAAAAAGACGTACCGTTCGAATAAAAAAAAATAGTACTGCCAACAGTAGCAGCAGCTGCAATAACAGCTCATGCAATCAGGGCTGGGTTTGACTATCGCTGGTTGGCCATTGCAATTCGCTTTCGTGCCAGACGTTTTGTATCTATTGTCAACTGCTGCCATTGCTGGACTACCGCATGTATGTTCAAAGAAAGAAGGTAAACCTTAACTAAAAACCGAAAACTAATGGCTAGAACTAGATATATATGCCTATCGTAACCAGACGAGACACGGACACATAATCGCACTACACCGCGGTCGTCGCTGCTGTTGCAGCCGTTTGCTGAACGACACTCATCCTATCCGCTTTTTTCACTTATTACCGCTTATCTTAGTTACTATTATTATTATTCGTCGAAATACCGTATTGCTATTGTTGGGATTGTAATTGTGATTACCGTTATGCCGGTAACAGTTGACAGCAACGGGGACATCCAGACAGTGTGGGCCGCGGACTGTTCCCTCCTGTCAGCGCCTCTTCTGCGTGCTTCGTCGCTGTTCCTTTTTTTTCCTCCCTCCGATCTCGTCGACATCGTTTCGTTCGCTCCTGGTCATTCTGGTTCTTCTAGGGCCGCCTGTTACTGTCCTGCTACCGTGTTTCCAGTGCTGCGTTCCGTTACAGCCAGTTCGCGCGACGTATATCGATGCTGGTAACGTCGCTGCGGTACCAAACTGTCAGCAGCGCAGACAGGCTTTTGCGGTGGAAGTGGTCGTCTATGTTACTGCTGAGGATGCGATTTTGGTGGGAATTCATCGGTTTGTTAGGAGAATCGGTTGCGTGTAATGTCCGTATAGTGTTGCTCTTCGTAGCTTTAGTCTTTCTCATCAATCAATTAATTTCGGCTCGGCTTATCTTGTGTTCTTTCTGGGGCTATCTTTCGTTATCAGCTTTCTTTCTGCTACCCTTACGACTAGCTGGCAGCGACCTCGCTTTTCGTCTACTTTTTCATATTGGTGCTGTCAATGAAACGCGGGCGACAGGCAGGAGATGGGTTGGTCTTGCCACGCCATTCGTGCCAGTTCGCGCATATTTAGATTTAAATGAAATGATAAAATAAGATGACCAAAGGGAAGGTATATATATTTGTGTAATAATAGTTGATTTGTACCGGTTATTACGAACAAGCGAATGAAGGACTTTCATACAACGGCATATACGCGTTTCATTTGTTTATACTATATCTTCATATGAAAGAATTTTATTAAGAAGGTGGATTGTAGCGGTGGTGTTAGTTTATTATATTATAGATGCTCATATCCAATTTTGTATTTATGCTGCAATTTCGGTGGTATCTAATTGACGCTTATTCAGTGATATGACAAAAGTAACTGAATCAGCTAATGCAGCAAAGCAGGCGGGAGTACTGCACGTTTTTGTGTGGTGTTATAAAGATCGGCATATTATAAGCTGATTTTAGGAAAGAGGTAGCGGATAAGGAATTCACGTTGAAATGGCAAAGTTTCATATAGGATCCTTTTCATGACTGGAATAGTTTCTAAAAAGAGACGGATTTTTGTCGTACTGTCGTTGCTAGAAAATGTTTATTTTGAAAACGTCATTGTTAGTGCTATCGTAATTTAAATGTTCTAGTTTCGATACGATATACATAGCAGATATGTGGTCAAGATTGAGTTGGAATAAAGTAATTCGAAGCAATATCCATACGTTTGGAATAAGACGCTTTCGTTTCACCTCGTTGACACCGAAATTTCGTTTTAGGTAACTCCAATTCTTCTGGGGAGAGAAGATACAAACTAGGTGGAAAAAATTCGTTAAGTACGTTTTCATGGATTATGAAAGCTTGCTAGTTAACCGATGACAGAGGTAATGCATTTCATGGTTATGACCCTAACTATTATTCACGACGAAGTGAAGCACATTTTTTGAACATTCATTGATTTCTCAAGCACGCCGCTCAAAAATATCGTCATGAAGATTCGTGCGAAAGTGATTTTACATGAAAATTAAACACGACCAGCCATCATAGGTGGGAACAATTTTTAAACTGGGGTAATATGCCATCCTTCATTGAATTCAGCAGATTAAAATACATGAGGGATACTTCTTGCAGCATTGATGGTGTATTGAAAAGACCAACTTGATTTTTATGTTGCGTGATGTCGTTATTGATTATCGTTATCTGGTTGAATTAGTGAAAGCGTCGTGAGTCCGAAGTCGAAAAATGCGAACACTGAGGCAGTCCACAGGCCCTTGTCGTTTATTGCATTCTAAGAAGTTTCCTATAAAGCAAGTCAAATCATCTGTCTGATCTTGATTTGATTTAGATTTGTGTAATTATTAATTGGCGTTCTATTTAAAAAAAAATATTTTCCAACTTACTGTTCACATAATAATGAGTATTTTCACACTACATATCACGTACCAGATATAATACTAGCCATAAGCTATTTGCAAATTGTATTGATACTGTCTTGCTTGGTGCGTGTATAAATATACGTAACTACATATTCTGTGCAGAACCAAAGCAATATATGGTTGTTAAAACTTATACCTAGTACACCGTAGGTTTTGAATATATGTTGCTAAACGAATTATTTAGTAGTATAGGTAGACGTAGCTGTGTTCATATAAAGATGTTACCACCGCAATTATTTTGCACGTGGTTCCAACCGTAACGCACTCAAGACTATGATGTAAACCTGCATTACATTGTAAAGTCCGTTACTATCAATACATGCTACATAATGTAAGTTTGACTAGGTATAGATGTGTTTTTAGCTATTCAAATTACAGTATAATAATAATAATTGAAAATAATAATAATAACCACGGCTTGTATTACTTTGTCATCATGATTCTACGCTATGGTTGTTCAGTTATTAGTGCATTCTACACATAGTAAAAAAGATAAGTAGCAATATAGCTTTACAGGGTGTAGCATGTTTCCCCATAAGCGAGATGGATAAATTTGAACAAGTACCATTCACTGCCACGGGACAATATACGGTTCCCTCTACAAGCTGACTCAAACTTCGATACGTGTACGTCCACTGAATATCCCAGCCCGGTCGTAACAGATATCACCTTTTATTTTCTTGCGTTTTGTACAACCATTTCGTGGTTTCCATGGTCTATTATTAAAGGCAAACCAGCCAATAAGATAGCAGTGGGCGGTTGCAACATCATCAATAAAATTCTCTGATGTGCAAACAAATTATCTTTTTTTTTGTAACTATAAATTTTACCTGTGAATTATAATCAGTAGTTTTCTTCGAACCTGTGTTGCCCGTCGGCACTGTCGTGTTCCGCTCATTCGAATTGGTTATATCGTCGAACCAGTTTAATTGGTGCTCAAGAAGTTTCCTACGTGTAAATCGATTCTTTGACTAATTCGTATCGCCTCAGTCATTAAATGTACAGGAATTCAGAATCAGATTCCTGCAGAAAAGGAGAGAACAATGCTTTTACCAAACTGCTAACGATATGCTGGGTGTATATATATATATATAGCTCATTAAAAGTTGTCAGGATTTATGACAAGAATTATGGACAACCATGACACTGTTTTCGTAGCCCCGTTAGTGTTGAGGTCATTACACATCATTCGATGGTAATGTTGACCTCTATTTCAAGTTCTGCGACCGTAGTTATCAGTCGTGTGCAGCAGCAACGGCGGCAATATCGACCCGCCGGTCGATGCATTGCCGGGTAGTCATATTGTAAACTATAATACAAACGCTTTAAGCACGTCAATGAAATGAAATTGAAGTTTCGTTCGAACTGATGGATACAACGATAAAATAAGGACAAGGGGAGAAGGGAGAATCTGTGAAACCGAAGAGGCATCATGCGATTATGACTGGTCATCAAGGCTATTACAGTTAGTGATTACTAAGCGTGTTGTTATCCTCATTTATGGTTAATACGTTCATGTTAACAGATAGATATTGTATTTTCGCTTTATTGTAGGAATAGAAATAGTACGAGTAGCGACAGAGCAACTTATGCCGGGTCATCATGAATAACATTTACAGACCAAGCAAGCGCCGGATAGTGGTAACCGGTGTTCGACGCAAAAACTCAGTCGTATTCTGTCTGTCCTCATAACGATCAATTGTATCATATACGACTTTCTGTTATGCGCGCTCGCTCCAAAAAGTGGGTGCACTTAACTACGCTATAGTATAGAATAGAACGGCTAAGCCTCAGACTGAAACAGACTAGGAGACACTACTTGCGTTCCGCAACAATTTGTATGAATACAAAAAGGTTGTTGATACAGCATAGAAACGCTTTCTGAAGAAGCTCATTCCGAAAACAGCGGATTGATTCCAGACATACAAACACACACCACATAGCCACCGACTTTTGCTTGCTTATAAATATATGTGTGGAGAAAATTAAAAAGACAATAAATGTAAAGGTTGTTTTGCGATTTAGCGAAGTTTGGCTAAAAACTTCGAGATAATGATAATTTGTCGTAAACTTCCGGGTTGCTGGGCACTGAACAAAAAACCTGTTTCGAATATATTTGTACCCGGATCGTAGTATGATACTGGATAGAAGGCATTGCTGTTCCGCTTGGACTACGCGGAATGCTTCTGTTACATTAGCAATGTGCCAATTAGCTAGGTAATCCATGCGACCACCTCGATCTAATATGACCTGGCTTAAAAGGATGAAGTAAAGCGAGATCCCGAGGCAGGTCCAGTGGGTTCTGTATTGCGTCTCTGTCATTTCTAGTACGGTTTAACGTGACCATTTAATAGTCGTTCCATAGCGAGAAACAGCAGCCAAAATACAGGCCTGTTAGCTTCAGATGAAAATTGTACTTGAGAGCACCATTTGGAACAGCACCGCGTGTTAAATATTTATGTATCGTACCTAATTTGTAAATTTCGAGTAAATTGCAATACGAGACAAAAACATTTTTCGTTTATATACTGGAACTAAATTAAAAGTGGTTGCGCCTGTTCATTTCTACATATAATCTACGCAAGCGATTTTGCTACAAAAATGTTCTCATATGATGCGCATTCATTCTAATTATGAAATTAAGAAAATGTTAATTCTATGTACACACATTGTCTATGTATATACATTGCGTTATACTATGATTGTCGTTACATCCATCGTGTAACGTACGCCTCTTTACTAGCCTATATCTCTAATTTTCAACCTTCCTTTCGCTCTAAATTATGTGCCACATATGGAGACATATTTTAGATAATATAAAATAGTTGTTTACATGCATATCTACTATGACTAGTAAGCTCCCTTAATGGCATAAGACTTCTCGTCATATAGGACACCATCAATAAGTTACATTTGTGACTTCTCTCTGTGTGGTTAAATTCTAAATGTTGTCTTGATGCGCTACTATGCGGCCGCTTACAACGATTCAGCGTGGTGAAGGAGGAAATCGTCGAGGATTCAGCCGTCCTGCCAGCATTCAAGGGTCGCGTCGTTTCGTGGCTTGTGTCAAGAGACGGAAGCAATGCATCCGACAGCGCCTCACAGGTGACAGCATCGACTGGCGCGACGGACGCCAACGGAGCCGCAATCGGAGAGGGTCGCTACTACAGACGTCAAAAAGAGCATCACAGGTAAGCTGTAGGGCTATCTGCATCAGTAATGACATGCAGCATCAACGGGAACGCCCTCGTTTAAAACAAAGGGGTTATTTGCGAATAAGAGGAGACAGGTTGATAAATTGGGCTAGGTTGGTTTTTTTTGAAAAATGTTTCGTCACGGATTATATACATATATATTATCAGCGATCTTTGGCCAAGCTTGTTTTTAAAGAATTTTTGACATTTGTATTTTTCACCACAGAATGAAACTTTTCTTGGTCCCTAAGCAGTAAACGTTTTACACATAGTTAGAATCTTATTAGACACACACATAGCCAAGCGTTTTCGTTGCCGCACTAACATCTCCAAAGATAAATGGTAAAGATAAGGTGCAGCTTTCTTTCAAAGTTTCAGTTTTCTCTTCTGGGGTATCTAAATCAGAGCCTATTTTAATAGGCGCTTTTTTGAGACCCCGCAGTTACGCCCAAGCTGTTTATTTGAACCTCATCAGTAACGCCAGAATTCCCTACCAGCCGTGCAAATAACCTCAGTCACATGATTAAATATCTTCATTAGTTAAAATCCAGGTACAGAACCAATACCATATTTATTTTACTTAGCTCGTTATCCCTTATGTTGCCTATTATACGTAACTCATTTCATTTGATTTCTCTCAGATCAAATCAGTTACCGCCTCACAAAGACAGAGCGTTAGACCAGAGGAAGTATGACTATGACTCATCCTCGGTAATGACTTCCGATGTGGAATCTTCAACGGTGCTCGACTCTGATGACGATTCGGATCTCACCTCTCGGATGAGTACAACGACCGACGAAAGCAGTGTTTCAAGACTCTATCATAGTCGACAGCAGCAACTCCGACGACGACGGAGGAAGAAGCTCACCCTGATGAGTGGAGCGGCGAGCAGTACCATGTCGAGTATTACGGATAGTAGTGTGTCTTTAAATATTATCACAGTTACATTGAATTTAGGTGAGTTTGAGAAAGAGACAAAGAAAAAAGGCCCCATTACGAACTTGTATTTATTTCGTTTACAGTAGTTTTATTTCTTTGCTTGGTTCATGCTGGATAGGATTATCATTCAACTTTTATTAAGCTGTAACACTAGGAGTTGCACGTCGATAGTATTGATGATAATAACAGCAGCAGCAGATTCCCATAAACTGAAAAAGCAAACGATACAAGAGTTTAATTTAACGGACGGAATTAATAGCTGTTCTCATATTGGCTATAAATCATTACAGATTCCGTCAACTTTCTTGGTATCAGTATAGTCGGGCAGTCTAATCGCGGAGGAGATGGTGGAATCTATGTAGGGTCAATCATGAAAGGGTTAGTAGCGCATTTCCCGGCAATTTGAAGTGAAATATTGTGATACCTTATCCACTAAACGTTTGCTGGTCCTTGTGGGTCTTGCAGGCGATTGTACTGCATTGTTCGACGTAAACGTTGACAACATATGACAAACTGCAAACGTGTAACATAACGTCAATAACGTATAAGTGAAAGGAGTAATGATTGCCGGTGTAGCTTTTGCTATGCAGCATATAGTATACAATTTGCGTAAACTTTAAATGCTTGATACAGGGTTTTACATAAACTCGATAATCTCGGTTACATTTCAGAGGTGCGGTAGCTGAAGATGGTCGCATCGAGCCGGGGGATATGATCTTGCAGGTAAATGACATCAGCTTCGACCAAATGTCCAATGACCATGCCGTCAAGGTACTTCGTGACGCCGTACAGAAGCCCGGCCCAATTAAACTGGTGGTGGCTAAATGTTGGGAACCTAACCCAAAAGGCTATTTCACTATACCACGAACGGAACAGGTAACGTTTCTGATTGCACACGTTTTTTGTTCCCAATGTGCGAAAAGTGATTTCTGCATAAAGCAAGTCCTTCGCTTAGAATATGCTACTCACAGACGTTCTGAAATTGCCTTTCCAGATGTTTGTTTTTTTTGAGCGTCTGTCCCAAGGTATATGTGGTTGTTTGTGGCTGAACTTAGAAAATCGATCCTGTTAAAGAAAAATTTGAATTTAGTGAATTCATTTATGTGGTTCGTAGGTCCGACCAATCGATCCTGGTGCTTGGGTTGCACACACGGAGGCCGCTTTAGGCTGTACCCCTCAGTTCCTCGGGCCTGGTCAGGGTGCCTGCGGAGAGTTACCTCCACCATTGCGTCCACCATCGGTATCAACTATTACCTCATCATCGCTAGGCACCGAGCACGACTCAAATCCCCTACTTTCACTTAGTGTAGACGATACGCCAAATAGGCATATCACCGAGGTACGTTGGATAGTTGAAGCTTGTAGGGCTATCCTTGTCTGTCCACGACAGTTTGTCGCATATTTGAGGTTTCGAAGTTAATTGAATACGCACCAGTGAACTTTATGTGTAGACGTAGCATTAGAAAGTAGCTCTGGTATTATAGCTACCATGTCTTGTTTTGTGTATCATTTTGGTGTGTGAAAATCAATGATAGTATTGTATACTGAGCTATCGTATAGACTGCAAGGAAATGTAGTGAGAGTGTTTTGGACCTTTTTGTCGGTACCGCGGCTTCATGCTGTAGGCGATGGCGTCTCCAGATTCGGGTTTGGATGTGCGAGACCGTATGTGGCTTAAAATTACGATTCGAAACGCGTTTCTTGGCAGCGATTGTGTCGACTGGCTGCTCCATCACGTGACCGGTTTTCGTGATAGGAAGGATGCAAAAAAGAAGGCGACTAGATTGCTCAAAGAGGGCCTTATCAAGCATACAGTGAACAAGAGTAGCTTTAGTGAACAGTGCTACTACGTCTTCAGTGATGATATAGTTAAACGTGAGTGGCTATACGTTAAATTACAATAGCGACTTAGATCCCCTGCACGAAACAATCGTAGTGAGCCTTCCAAAATAAAAAATATTTTTTTTTATTTTGGAAGAATGTGGAATCATCCTTCAGCTGTTGGCATTGTTCCGATTAGGTCAACTGTTATTTAAGAGGTTGCATATTAAATGTTTGCAGTAGATTCACAGACGAATAAATAACTACTTACATCTGGTAAGGTTTTCCTCTTAGATACACGCAATTTTTCTTCGTTTTCTTTAAAGGTATTAACGATATGCGACTGGATACTGGTGTTGGGGTTGAGTTATCTGCGCCGACGGGCTGGACTATTCCGACGGCGATGCCGCCTTACACAGGCCAGTACACGCCACAGCCGTTCCTCACGCATCCAGCTCCTCCACCCGCTCATAACTTAACTCCTACGTACGCCCAACCGACGCTTCCCACGGCTTACGCCAACGAAGCCAGTTACGTTAATTTCGGCAGAGAGGTACGGCGAAATAGAAGACGAAGAAAATGATAAATAACAGTCAAGTCGACCGAGTGCGCCATTACGACAGGAAAGACATTATCGGCCATAGATTGAGCTAACTCCACTTCCCTCTCTACCATTAAAATTCTTTTTTTCAACATATATCGGCATGTGGCTTATATAACGCTCCTCGCAGATGGAAAAATATCCAATATAGATCGATATGCTTGGATCGCTGCTGTGCATGAAGGAGGCAAGCGCATGATTTACTCACAGTCGTGAACTATGAAGTGTTCGAACGTGTGGTAGGCAATGCAATTATCTCGAACGCCGAAGACTTAAAGCTGATCTCATCACGACCATACGCGAATAGAAACGCCTATTCCGCGGTTAATTTCCTGCTGGGCTTTCGGAACGACACTGTCTGGACTATCAAAAAATAACATTCTCGTAGATGTCACTCACAGCGACTGCAACTTGAAAAGCGCATTTAAGGCTGTCCAGTCCGTTCTACCTTCAGTGAGAGTCTAGCCTCGGCTCATCACACAGACCTGTGATATCCTTCGAATGAGGAAAAGCGAAATATTAAATATCCACTAAAACAAAATTGGAGACTCACTTTCAAGACCACGATGTTCAACTTCTGCCCTACAGACCATATTTTATTGCTGTTGTTCAACTTCGCTAAGCCCGTCCCAAAGGATCTGCTTCAGCATGATGCGTATCCAGACAGCGTTAAAATACTGATGTCTGTTAACAATGTCAACTCCTGTAGTGTGTTGCAGATAATTCTGAATAATTAAATAAATTAGTTAGAATATATGGGATTAAAGACCTCGATGTAAAAATTCAGAGTGATTCATCTGGGTAACGAAAACCTAAGTTAGGATACAAATATCAACCATAAAGTGAGATTCTAATAAAAATTACCATAATAAAAGATTTAGAAAGTCGGTTCTCTTTCTCACACTCGTTCAGCGAGTAGATTTGGCTATTAAAAACTGCCTACTTATGTACTGATAAATTTTGAGATCATTTGCCGTAAAGTTGCCTTGCGTATACTTTACACATTATACTGTTAGTTATGGGGATATGGTCTGGGCGAAGGATATTAGCCACTTTAATAAAGTACGGGGGGGATTTTTTTGTAGAATTAAAGTGATGCGCAATTAAAATTACCTGGCACTCAATGTAGCTACAAATTAAAAAAGAACTCAGGTGCTGTTTGTTTATGGCAGTATGAAAACAGCCGACACAAAAAAAAACAATATTATTTTGATCATACAATGAAGAGGTATAATTTTATTGTTAAGCGCAAAGAGAGCATAGGTGTACAACCTTGTGGCGCGTAGCGAGTGAGCTAACCTGATAGGCCATTTATTAATATAGTTATATTAACCTGTATATAAAGTAGCATTATTTCATATTACTTATACTAACTGATAACACTATACTAATTGTAGTGGTAAATGATTCTGTTTGTTTATATTTGTGTCAATACTTGATCTGTTGTACTGCGGCTTATATGGTTGTCACCAAAAATAAATAAGAAGTACTTCCCACCGAAAATGAATCGACGTCTTAGCCAATATTATTTTAGGGAAAAAATATGTATATTCATTGACTAGGAAGTTCACAGAGATCAATTATAATCTTACATTAATAAAAATACAATAAGATAATGATAGTCAATGTATTCTCATGCCTTTGTGCTTGGGAGTGTATAAATGTCTAACCTCTTTTTCAATTGTACACCTTCATTGTTATTACAGGGAAGCGTGAACAGTAGTGCGGGATCAGGGGGTAGTGGAGGTGCAACCAACGGTCAGTTACTACCCGCATTGCCAAAGCCCGCCGTTGCAGTAGCTGTACCGCTGGCTGTGGGTGGCCGATCCTCTTCGGCAAGTTCGACGAGCTCTTCCTCATCGGAGCACGACTCTCAATCGCTTCTGGCTGCCCCTACATCAGCCATAGCTCAGGCGAACGCAGCATCGACAACAACTGCTGGTCAATCGGTGCTCCGGCCAGGAGCTACGGGCGGAGTCCTTGTCACCGCTCCGCAGAAAAGCGCAAGTAGGGATAGTTTTCATAAGGCGATGAATAGTAGCACCAATGATGGCGACATCAGCACCGGTGCTCAGAGTCCGTCAAGTTTTGTCGACTAATCCTATTGTTGTTTAGTTGGCTAATTAGATTTGACTCGAACACCAGCTGGGCATGTCACCCCCTAGACCCGCCTCGTTCTTCTCGTCTCTTATAGAATGCCTGTGGTTACCTGCACTCAAATTATACTTTCTGATGATCGTGTCTTCTAATCAGATTGCCCATGCTAGACGATGGACGTTGTATAAGTTACGTCGATTTTTCATAGGTGTTGCCTTCCAACGCATGAACGCTCAGCCTGAACCAATCACCTGCGTACGTACCGTGCACATGTCGCAGTCTGCTTTTTTTTCTCTACTTAATATGCAGCTCTCCATTAGCATGTTTATATCGGGGTGATTCCGAATCACATTTTGTTAAATAGTTTAGTGCTCCTGAACGTCTGTAACATTCCAAGCTCCAAGACTTCAAACGAAGTCTACCCCCACAGTCTATCTCAGACGTAAATACATGCCCTCATGCCAAAGATCATGAATACAATAGAGGCATGTGAACCGTCGAGGTTCGTGCTACATTCTCTACCAACCGCTACAGGAATGGAATACCTTTAAAGAATTCATCACCGTATCTTCGACGAAAGTGAATTTAAAAAATCTTCTAGCTTCAAAACTTTAGTAGCGGCCTTAAGTTTTTTTCTAATCCATACTTGTTCTTCCCCACCTCGATTCGGGGTGAACTTTTCTGTCCACCGCTTGCTTAACCTAGACTTTCAACTTTCGCCATTTTCTATTTGCTTTTTTTAGGTTTGGTTTTCTCATTTCTTTTTTCTCAACTAAGTTCCATTGTAGCCTTGGTTATATTGTTTGGCCTCAATCTGGTTCCTGTTTAGATGGCGATATGCCTAGCAGCGGTACAGCCAACGACGGGCACAGTGGCTATATGAACTGTTAAACCGCCTCATTGAGACGACGACATGAGCCTACTCGTACGATGACGAGTATGTGGAGAACAAGACGAATTGGAACAACCATTGGGTTGGTATTCGTTTGTCGTTCCAAATGCCTTAATGTAACTTATATGTATCTGAAATGTGAAACGAAGCTGGGATGTTGGTTGTGATGTTTGTAGAACACGTCATGAGTCTAGTTACAGTTTATCTCGACTCTCTTGTCGTGTCCAACTGCATATGAACGAGTATAATCTTTTGTACAGAGCGAGACGGATAACAAATTTAGGCGCACACTTGGGAAAAGACGTAAAAGACACAAAACGAAAAAAAAAAAATAGGGTGAACTTAGCGGAAGTGGTGTTGAATAATGAAAATAGCAAACCTAGTTTGATTGTTACTTTACTTCGTTGTTCTAGGTGGAAGCGCTTTATTTTTCTCTTTTCTTCATAAGGCAAACAAATTATTGTCGTTCTCTCCTGTATGGTCAATATTGTTAAAATGTAATAATTTATAATAATTGTCAATTCAGTTCAACGGATTTCCTTAGTTTGTCGCAGAACGCGGGGGCCCTGTCGTTACCCAATCCAGAAATGTTTTTTGTATGCCTTGGTGCGTCTGTATGTACTTGAATGCTGTGCGTGAATGACTTGCCAGTACAATCATAATAAACAGACCCCGTGATCGTGAAGTCGACATATACTAGACCACATGTATGAGCAAATAAAGATATTACTTTTTTACATCTACTATTACTCGGGAGACATTTATCTACTATTTATTCCCTATATGTCATTCATTTCAGGCAAAAACGACCTGCTGGAAGAAGAAGACGATGAGCTGGACGACGAAGAGGATGATATCTATGAATATACAGATAAGGGCGTCGTATAACGGTTGTCATCCGCTCATTGTTGGGAAAACTATACGCCATTCGTGTATTGCCACTACTTTTTGCGAATTCAGCGAAGCATGAATAAACGTTAGAGGGAATGCATCTGTTGAATTTAATGAGGAACCCATTAGGCCAGAGACGAAGATCACAGGATAAACAAAATCAAGTGTGTTATCAATTACACGCCCCTGCTAAGGGGAAGCGACAGTTTTGGGTGCTGTAGACTAGATCATGCCATAATCGCACATGTTTCTATGTTCTACTAATGCTCCTTAAGCCACGACCATTAATAGACTCAACGCTGCTCCAGCGTATGCTTCGTTTCAAATTTTCCAAGGCTCTGGCATACCTATGTATTATACCTTGTTATCTATAGGCTTCAAGGATTTATGTTTAAAATTAAATGTTTGCAGCACGTCCTAAAGTGAACCTCTCGTTAAAGTGATTGATGTGTGTTTGTATAATACTACGCTTCTTCGTAGAACCTGTTCAGCTTTAGGATCACATCGGTTTTTATCTATACGAACCAGAGTATAAAGCGTATAACTATGCTCGAAAATTTGTCAAAATCAACTGGTGCTACACAACTTGATTGTAACTAATAGGGTGATTAAAATGAGTGGATGGCTCTGAGATTTGCTTACATGGAAAAGAAAGGATTGTTTGAATCATTTTTTACTGTTCACTGTTTGCTCCAGATTGGCGGTATCACTAACCTAAAGTATTAGTACATTACCTGTCGAAGCTTTAGGTCAAGCTAACAAAAAAGCAGATCCCTGTAGAAAGCTCAAAGAAAAATTACTGGAACAAAGCAAGAACAAAGGAAAATTTTGACACATTTAGCTGGGCCATATTGGATAGCTGGGTCGTTGTTTGCTGGTTTTTGAGGTCTACATAGAGAATATGGTATTTCGTTCCTTGGAGCAGAAACTTACGTCACTTAGAGTCTCATTGTACCGTACCATATTTGGTTTGAACTAACTGAAAAAGACAAACTTATTTGAAAAAGAATAAACCTAAGGGGCCTACGCGATGAACGAATATGCAGAATTTCGATAGATGAAACATTCTGCCTATGCTGCATACATGATGCAATACGTGGCGAGGAAGCTTGAGAACAACAACGATTGCGTAGATTTACAGTATATATAGATGTACTAATAAATCATAATAATAGGAAAAGTATAAGTACACGATATATATAATGATGATTACACGCATAAGCATTCTAGTGCATATATAGCAATAGAAAGGTATCAATGGTACATATAGAAATGAAAAACTATGGTATATAATATTATTGGAATGATTATATTTATATTATCAGTATAATAATGCTAATAAAAAGAATGACTAATAAGCCAATGTACAGAATCGATGGATGAGGAGAGGTAAAAAAACAAATGAAAGGTAAAAAACGAAAATGCAGGGCTAACCAGAGGTCAATACAATCACGATATGATGGGCCAGCGTGTAGATACTGTGTAAAAACTGGTGGCTTTATTAATTTGCACCGAATAGCTTTGAACACAAAAGGTCCATGCAATCAAACGGAAGCACACGAAAAAAAAATTTCTCGAATTGAATTGCTTGTGACGCCTTTTCATTTGCATGTGACATGTGACTTTGAAACGGTCACTTGACATATGAAAAGTCGTTTGTGAATTGATGCAAACATTGGTAACAGGTTCCAAAGAACACGAGCTCATCTAGATTAATGAGGCTTTAACCACCTGAGAAGGAAACTACGGTGTAGCTTTGTAATGAACAATCATTGATGGGTCACTACAGCAGCAATGTTATTTAAGAAAGCGGGGAATTCGACAGCACCGATACGGTCGTATTTGGCTTTGTTGTCAGCCAAATTGCTTGTCGACTCATATAGAGAAATGGTAATATATTTATTCTGGCTGGCCCTGTTAACCTAATGAGAAATTAACCAATTTATGACTTACATAACTAGATGTGGCCTACAGAAATAAAAATGGACTTCCACTAATATGTGTTCTGTTTAGTAACAGACGCAATCTCAAATACGGTTTGCGGGCTTTATAGTTGTACTCTCTGAAGGCACTGCCTACTTATCAGTGCCATCAGGTACTTTCTGTAGGATAGAACCATCATTGCAAAGAATCCATGTGTTTATAAAAGCCGGCAGTAGATTGTCGGGTAGTAAGTTTACGCTACATTCAAACTAAGAGGGTGAAGGGGAAATTGTCCAATTAAGCAGGTTCTTTCTCATGATACGAAACACTATACTTGTTTATGTAAAATATTAGAAAAGCAATGCTGATGGCGAGTTTAATTCAGTTCAGCATGTCAATTATTATTTATGCTCGCAGCAATTGAAAACACTGGATTCCAAACAAACCGATAGACACAAACATACATGCAGACAAAACTTAAAATTTTGGCGGGGATTTTTAAACACGGAAGCATCGAACAGCGAACAGAGGTATAATCAAAGGAGGCGAAGTAAACAAAGTGAGAGAGAGACTGTGAAGAATCATAAACTAAAGGACAAAGAATTTTTAAATAAAAATATAAAGAGACAGAAAAAAATAAGAAGATTTACATTTATGCGTGTACGTGTCGTTTTTTAGATGTACACTTTTACGAATGAGGACAACATTATTAGTGAGGATACTAGTATAGTTTGTCGAGAAGGGATGTATCAACTAAAGGTGATGAAAGCTATTCGGAAACTTCATATGTCATCTGTTGGCGTATATCTAACATGTAATATGGAGAATTTGTGTGAAATCTGGGCAAAGAAAACAAATAAGAGAATAAAATGGACGCCACGATGAGAATAAAAAAAAGTAATAAGTACTGATCATACTGAAATAAAAATGATGACGGTACAGGTAAAATATTTCTGGTTAGTTATTTTAGCTCATTTTCACGTTAATTGGTAACCTATAAATTACGAAGAGCTTTTGGGTTTGCTTCAGTCATAAGTACGATATATCAGTTATTGTAGCGGTGGTGCCTGATGGCACTGCATCACAGAAAACTTATGTAGCACAATCTCACATTATACACCAAAAAGTAGATGCTGCAGTGAATAACCTAAAATCTAATTGAAAGCGAAAAAAAAAGAAATACAAGCTTCCACAAGTTCCAGCCCTTATTGCTAACCTGCAAGTCGCTTCCATGTTAAGGTTCTATCGATCCATGGATATACGATATAACGCCTTAAACCAATCCAAAGATTGAGTTTTGTCATTGATCCAGCCTACTCAAAAATCTTGAACAGTTCTTCATGACTTACGAATACCTTAGTCATCAACGTACAACTTCAACATACGCAATAACCAAGCATACATAAAATGTAATGATTATGGACGTTCTATCTGCCTTGTCTGAACGCCCTAAACGTTTTGTCTATTTCACTTATCAGATTATAACCTGTCTTAAATGGCTACAAAAAAGAAAATGCCAGTATTTTGAATAATTCCATGGAAGATGTAACTAATAGTAGGTTGTGTTTCTATGACTCTGTGTATAGCTAAGTATTATTAAATAGAATCAGGTTTAAGAAAAAACCTTATGATTAGCAAAAAAAAAACGCACATTATAACGTATTTATTTATATAAGTCAAGTCGAGTAGAAAGATAATCTGCTTACATTCATAACAGTATTTTTACAAATGCGTTTCTTAAATACTTTACAATGTACTGAAAAAACACGATGTATTATATGCTATATATATATATATATATATATATATATATAGCATTTTTATTAATAACATTATTCAATATATATAGTCGTATTTGTCTTAACATAATAATTATAATGATGATAATTTACATTTTTATCACGTGCACTGCATGATCCTTCTGACCATTTCCTATTCGTTTCTTATCTTGTCATCTTTTGTTTTAAAATGAAATATGAATAATAGCAATAAACGGTAACTTCAGCGAGCATAACAATGTAATAATAATCGTAATATAGGAAAGTACTGTGTAAAGTCGTTAGACGGTGTGTATTTTTTTTAACAGAAAAAGAGAGAAACCGAGGTGGAAGCAATGTAAGCTTACAAACGGATTTTGTTTTTTGTCCTCATTAAAAAAAACTTGTGCTTACCGTTTATTTGGCCAAAAACTAAATCCCCATGAAACCATTCCTGGCCCTTATTGCTATACAGAAAGCGCAATAGCGCCACCATATATACGTATGTACGTGAAAAAAACTGAAAATTACTTGCAAAGCATTCTAAATATTTGCTCTTCTTGGTATTTCTATTCAGTTGGTCTCTCATGAAGTAAATTCGTATTTAAAGTTGCTTCTCGAACGCGATGTAAATTCTTGCAAAAAACTCTTTCACCAAATCTACATGTTCGTGTTTCAAAAAAACCTGTGCAGTCTTCGCTTTCATAGCACGCAATAGGTTGTTTTATTCGATGCCTAATTATGCTTTCCATAACATCGTTACCTTACTGGTGGCATGGTAAAAAACTAATTTTCAATTCGGCAATTTACACTAGATAACTTTGTCTCCTTTGTTTCCCTGCTTCATTATAAAGATGATTTATAATGATTGGTACGCATCTGTTATGATAATAACAACAAGATTGATGGATTACGATCGGTAATCCTGTTGAACATATCTTCTGTATATAATAATTATATATATGTAAGTATTATATGTATAATTATAATTGGATTATATTATTACTGACAATAGTACAACAAAGTGTTTAAAAAATGAAACAACTCAACAAAAATAATGACATATTTTACTATGCATCACTCTGTTATTCGCCATAATATTAATTATTTTTTCAAATGATCTTCATCAAGCACGACAACTAATCATAATAATTTCGCCGACATATCGCTGACAAGAATAACCAAGATAAAGAAACGCCATATCAGAGAACGGACTAGGTTTGGATCACTGTGACTTTTACGTGTCCTAATTAAAGCTGTTTCAGACGCTTTTTCAATACCGCAAGCCTATGTGTAATGAGATGCGGTTATTGCACCTTCAACAGCAGTCAGACGTTACCGTTCCCAACACTCACGATTCGATCGTTACGTATTCCGGACAAAGGTCCTGTACGAAGGAGGAGCTGAAGCAAGCCATCCTCGCTTAAAAAAAATTCGGCGACTTGCGTAACTTTGTAGAAATTATGTCGAATAAAATATATATATGTACCAAGAAATCGTCCTTACACTGTATTCACATGATGGCAGTCTAGCTCCGTTCAAAGTCAGTTATTGCAAACAATAACGCTGCATTGGGCCTGCATACTCTGCATAGCACAACAGCATTCCCTTGAGAGTATAGTGAGTATCTGCCTGAATAAACAAGTCAATGTGACAGCGGAAAGGTCATTTTGCTGATGATTTGTTTTCCTTTTGTTTTCTAGGTGTCAAGGTCTTAACTAATTTGTAACAAACATACTACTACGCAATATTTTAGTGCATATATCCATAATGCCATCTCTAAACTCGGCCGACTCAATGAAATTATTGCGGTGAGAATTAACATTCTTAGAGCAAGTATAAACTTCATCGTACAAGAACGGGCGTACTCTTGCGGTTAGAGTGTTTCGAAGCCCGTGTACCAACTGAGATGTAACAAAGTCCAATGGAAGTTACGGCTCATCTAACTACTGATTGTTAGGGCGGTGCCAATGGAAGACAATTTAGGAAAAACACATGGTTATGATACGTAGCATTTTACAGTACGCGATCACGATCGATATAAAAAACCTTCGGCACCCAACTGTATAGCGCAAGTTAGAGCTCGTACATGAACGCTTTAACTCCGTTATGTTAAAAGTGATTAACGGTTGCTACGGTAACGAGTTCATTTACATCTGCATGGAAGGGCTATTAGGTCAGACTGAAAAGGCGGAGCCTTTTGAAGTAATGGCTTAAGTGTCGGACGTAAAACAAAACAAACATTTTAGGACTGATAAGAAAAAAAACACCATCGGATGAACTGTTTTGGCGTTTTCTCTATTTTATCAGCAATAATAATAATGTTTGTTTGAAGGCATGTTAGTTAGACATGGCGTCCGATTAAAGACCATTGGCGAAGATCAACTCATCCAGGCACGGGAGTTAATGCTTTACTAATTGATAAAGGATTTTTATACCAAGGTCGTGGCTTTCAAAGTTTACCAGTGTATCAATAGGGAAGTTGAGTGAGCGACATTTGTCACGCTAGCTATGACATTTTGGCACCACATCCCGGCGGAATACAATCGATATCGACAAACCCTGTACTATATCTTAGGTATACATTTCGTTTCAGTCATCTCAGCCCACGATGGATAAAGCCGTATCTTCAAAAACAACCTGCGTAGAGTACACGTGCATGCATAATGTTGCCATGATACTGCTGCATTAACGACAATTTAGAGTCAAGCTGAATTGCACTTTCTCTTGTGATAAGCCGGTGATCATGCTGCTGTTGCTCTTCGTTCTGGTGATAGAACTCAAGACAACGAACTTTTTTACCAGACATGGCCATAAATATACCTCATAAGATATACTAGACTGCCTTCATCAAGTAGCAAGTCACGGAAGATCCGTGTTCTACAAACGGCAAGCCTTTCTGGTATCCTCACTATTCGCGCAAGGCTCGGAAGGATCCACTGGAGTAAAGCAGGCTCGTATTGTCGTTTCTAGTCATTTCTGTTTAGATCAAATTATTCGAACTTGTAGTAGTCAAAGGTTGTTGTAAAAAGGCTAGCTATAAGTGGCATAGGTGTTCGGAAGTATTTAGAATTAGTTATGTACTGTCCGCTGTTTGGACATCATGACTGAATGAGTACTCAGGACAGTGGGGAAGAGCCACACCTCTCTAGCAATTTGCAAATTACAAAGAAACTTTAGAAATATGAGTCTAATATTATATATCTTTACTGTAGGGTTCCTGATAAACTGTATCGTTTCATCTGCATGCTTTCCCGAAGAGAAGCCCTTTTATAATTAGCTAGTTTCAGTGACTACATACGAGCTACGTCCTTGAAGCCGGAACGGCAAAGCGTTCGAGCATTCGATATCAATCCCGTTTTTGTCTAATGTGTGTATATATATACAACCAGTTTTTATGAGCGAAAGTTCTGTGGAGATCTCATGTAGGCCGAGTCAAATCCATTGCGTATGTGCTTGTAAGTACGGAAATGTGGATTAACACGCGCATGGTTTTTCGTACGGAGTACTCCTAGTACATCACGTAATAACAACAGCACACAGATGGCGCGGCAGACCGTAGGTTGTGAATTATAAAGGCCTATGGAACACAAAAGAGAAAATGATGGGCTTGACAGCGCAATCTGAACGGTGTGCCGAAAAAAGCGCTAACCAATATCAGAGCGATAAACATTTTTGACGCAACAGGGGCATACTGTTTTTTGTAGGCCCAACCGCAGGTCAGATGTGTACGTATGCACACAATTTCAATGGCAATGTTAACGGCCTATCGTTTTATCTATGTCGTCATATATAGTTGTCCACATGGGCTAACAAGCATAAAACATTACGAAAGTGTAAACGTCGTAGGACCTCCTCAGCTCTCACATATACAAATCGCTTGACACAACCCCACAATAAAATTGATGGCTTTGCTTATTCGTATGATATTTCGCTCAAGACTCTAAGAATAACAATTATTGTTTGAAATATATATATATATATATATATTTCACACTCTCTACCTTTCTTTGTTAATAAACCGCAAGGTAATGAGAATACTTTAGAATTACACATACTCGATTTAGCTGAATCCTCGTCAGAGTTATGAAACAGCGTTAGTAACAGCCGGCCATTATCGAATCGTCGTAATTTACATAGCTCTTACGACTGATGCTTCGGCTTTGGTGATTCTGGCAACTGATTAACCATTTTATCGCTGACAACTCTCTAGTGATAGCCAAGCAATCATAAAGCACTTTACACATATACACAAACATAGAGATAGACGCAAACTTTAGCGCCGCCTCTCACCGAGTGGACCATGGAGTCGCCCATTGTTGCTTAGATTTTTACCATTAAAATATTATATTACTATACTAGAGTTTCAACCTGCTTATGACAGCACCTCTATCGCATTTTGACGGTTAACGCGTTCCATTATTATGATTTAGCAACGTGCAAGAGCTAAGGCTGGTGGAAGTAGGTTTAAGCGGAGAACAACGCAATGATCCCCCGGTGGCCTTGATCGATTGGAGTAAGCCGTTCAAAGCTTCTTCCGTTTTGAACGATTCTATTATGTACCTTTTTAAATAAGATGACCACCGATTCAATTCTATGTTTACAATTAGAGGCCTGTTATAATAACAATAACCTATTTTTGAAGTCGCTGAGCCACTTCAAGGTAGAGCAGTCAGTCCCAATCTGCAAATAACACCTTAACAGAGATTGACGGAACTGAACATGTCAAGGTGTTTCAATATATCTGATATATATACCAAGTATTCTAGATAAACGGGCACAATAATTAATTTCTTTTTTTTTCAATTGTTTTTGTTAATTTTCAAAAATAAAAACTATGCGAAAAGTAGTACAGTTTTTTAGAACTATAACATAACGACAAAAAGTGAAACACGTTAAAAAGAGCGTTGATGTCCTTCAAGGAATTAATATTGGCGACGCATTAACGCAAGTTCGTTGTTTTTTTCAAAGTGTAGCATGGAACGAAACATCTAAAAGTTCATTTTTTATCATGGGTAAAGTGGGAGAAACGTAGTTGAGTTCATCCCATAGGGGCGGACGGCTTTTTAGATCGACCGAAGAGAGTTCTATATGCTTAATTAACGATTAGTTGCCGATACGCAAATTGGTGTACATTGAAGACACATGATAATGGCCAGCCAATCAAATAAAAGACCATATTATACAATACAATCATACGTTTGCAAGGGGCCCTTTTTATGAGAGAGCAAAAAATGTGTTTTACTCTCAACCAGGTACACCCTTGACAAAATCGTTGCCATTTGATGTTTTAGAATATTATATGATTAGAACTAGTCAAGCATCAATTTGTTCTTAAGCTAGAAGCCCTCGTCTTTCATATGTGTTTCATTTGTAAAAATTGCTGAAACCTATATAAGCAGTTTGCCAAATTGTCGCTAGAGTGAGCGCGATGTGAATTCGATACGAATGACAAAAAAAAAATTAATGAAAATTCATTCGCGGAAAAGCATCTTTGGTACAACAATTATATTTCGATCGATTTTTATAGGAAAAACTATTTTCTGCTTAACGAACCAAGGTCGTATCTACATGTTATTGATAAAAATAAAAATCTGGCTTGGTCCTTTTTGTTGATCGAAACAAACATTATGCACGTACTTGATTGGCTGCCAGTTGCATTTTTACATTATATTTACACAATGTCGTCTTAGATAAGGTCATGCAGTTATTGAGAAATCGTAGTCGGGAATCGCATTGATTGGAACTTTAAGAACGAGTTTTCATAACAGAGTACGCCCATAAAGATATTGGTTTAGTGCCCAGGAGCGACTCAGTGTACGTGTCGTGTTTTGAATACTCAGTTCAAGAAAGCCTGTTATTGGTCGCGCAATCATTAACTATTCGTCGTTAGAAAAATTATTTGCTCCAGCTATTTCAAACATTTTGAGCTGCTCATGTATCATAGAATTGCCGTTTTTCTATTGTTATCAACCTAATAATTATCCCACCACAAAAATTACTCGTCATACTGGATGTACATTGTAATGCTCATTCCGCTAAAATACCCACACACGGTGCAGGACAAACTTATATCTAAACACAGACACACATATGCGAGACATATATACATTCGCCTATGAGGTAAGACAAATTTGCGGCGGGATAAGGGGGACGATATACTTCATCTCCGCCTATCTCGAGATCTACCGTATAATCTGGCATACGAGTCGTGAAGACCGCATTTGGCGATAGCTCCTATAAAAAGTTAAGGCAGAGTTCAGAATAGAAAAAATGGAAAGATCGTGGCCCACGAAGACCTGGAGCAGAGAAGATACGAATGACTAAAGATACAGACAAAAATGGTAACAACGGTTCTTTCTACTTGCAATTTCTCTTGCAGTGGCACCGCCACATAGGTCCGTTGTTACGAAAATTACTGGTAATAATTACTTCACAGTACATCATTTACCGTTGGACATCCTTAGATGAGGGGTAAAAAGTGAACGTCTAGAGAAAAGCAATTTTTCTTTTGTCTGTTTTTCATCTGCTGATCTTTAATCTATATTTTTATAATATATCGTTGCTTCTTACGCTTCATTCCGAATCTATGTTAGGGCGTGACTTACGTTATCTACGAGCAAAAAAAAATGATATTAGAAAAAAGGGCTGTGTATTTCTTATATTCCATCCTATTCGAAGGAGCATCTCATGATTCCACTGTAAGGTTCGAAAACATGAGCAGGATGTTTTGCCTTTGGTATTGGATCATTGAATTTCAAAACGACATGTGATTAATTCGATATAGCAGACGATCTGCTATAAATTCGGACAAATTGTTTAACGAAACCTATCTACCTACTATCAATACATTGGGGCTCGTGCCGTAATCGATAATAAGATTAGAAGACCGCTACTATTTATCCTAGCAGAGTTCAGAAATTTGGAAAGCAGCTTCATTCTGATATATTGCCCACCTAGTGAATCTAGAGGACCACTGACAATCGTGTCTAAATTATAACAATACATAAAATATAACTATTAGTCAAAAATATCCGTTAGGCATAGTGGGGGGACAGGGGGAAGGACGGACGGACGGACCGTAGATCATTAAGGGTTATTATGAATGTATTTATGAAGCACGCCGAATGATCTCGAGCGTCAAAAGCTTTTCAACAGCTCGAGAGCTGTTATACATTTCTCCTAACATCAAAGTGTTTCAATGGTGAGGTCTTATTCGATGCGCGGTGTTGGTTTGTAATAGTTCATCCACTGCTGCTTGTGCTGCTTGTCTTCGTGGTATCAGACAATAGAAATGCAAGACTCTTTCGCTACAACTAATAAACATGTGCACGGATCAACGAAAGTATGTCTCGATGAAGACCGATTCACCATGCATCGAAAACTTCTTCTTTGTCTTCTAAGTTAAGAAAAACAATTGTAACCCTTTAAACAAGTAGCGCTTGTTAAGGCATCTCTGTCTTTCTAAGCAAAGTAAGCTCTTGATTCTCACTCTTACGTTCAATGTTTAATTATCAACATAGTCGTCGTTCATTAAGATTATGAAATCCTCGACGCAGTACGGTTTTCCAAATAAGGGTATTCTGCGTACTACCACGTACCCGCCGACTTCTAGCGTCTCGTAAGAATTTTTTGAATCGTGTCTTCATGAATGTTAGAAGAGCCGCATTTCTTCTGGATAATATATGCCAAGGAGTATATCTACGTATCATAATAGGACTCAATAACGATGGTAATGGGCCAGTCTTAAGTATTGCAGATGCTAATTGCTATTCTACCATACATAGAATGTATATATATATATATATATGTGTGTGTGTGTGTGTGTATAATTTTGCAAGATACAATTTTTACCTAAGTTTTATATGTATATATATAAATTCCGCATACACAATAAACATGCTACTGTTTCACTCGTATAACAACAAACACGTAACTCATTCAATAACTCTAGTTTGCTTTTTTCTCTTTGTCTTTGAAACTAAACGACGAATAAATTTCGTCGATGACAATTTTATCTATCACGTGACATTGGTACATATGCATGCCTATACGTATAACTATTATTGTTATTCAAGCAAACTTCCTTTTAATTGACTGCATCCCACGCTTCGTGATGTAGTCTGTAGTGGTCGATTGCTTGAGATCGACGTATAAAAAAAATAGCGTCTAGTTTCATTCATTCACTAATAATAATGAAAATATCTGGCTGTCTTTATCCACTGGCATAAACTTCTATCACCCTGACGACACATGCGTGTATTAGTTGTAAAAAAAATGACACGAGACCAAAAGGTGGTTGGATGGTTGGAAGCGCTAGTTCAATCCTCCTTTGTGCTCCCTTAGCGTGGAAGTCTACGAAGGGCTGCGCTGTCTACATAGCCACTCTAATTGGTATAAAAGTAACTATTCACATCATATATCTTGGTAATACAGGTTTCGCCTCGTTTACTTCTGCTCTATACGTAAAAGATTAGGATTGGTCACCTTGAAATCGCGCCAGTCTTATCAATGTGCGCTACCATGTTTCAAGCATTCTTTCCATAGACAGTACGTGACTTCTCTACTTCTTTGAAGATCAAATATGTCACACATGCCGACTGGCATCGTAATTCAGTCCACACATCAGACTGATACGGCCATTTATAGCACTCCCGATTAGGACGATCGTGAGAAATTCAAGCGATGTAGTAGGAAGAGGTTGCACTGGAATGCAATTTGTATACTTTATTAATCAGGCGGTAAAAAACTAGCGAGGTGGTATCGACGCGCAATATGGGGTCGTACATCGCGCACCCCGCAGCCTCCTTCAGGGCCGGGTCCGGCCAACCCCTCGAGGAAAGGTAAAACCCGCAACAGCTCACGATCTTCGGCGTCAGCGAACCACGACGCGATCGGAATTCCATTCGACAACTGATAGCCGAAGGCCTGCAATGATGAGAATTAAATATAAATCGCGATTTCCTCATAGTGTCAGACACCTAGCAAAAACGTTCTTTATAGAATTACTAATGGTCAAAACTCAAAAACTTAAGGGAATCGAGGAGAGGTGTTAGCGCATAATAATTATAATAGCGTAGGTTCCGTACCTGTGGCGAGTTGTCAATGATGATGGTTTTGGCAAGGTCCCTGCCCAGGATTGAAAGCTCCTTAACATAGTTTCCTGACACCAACACGCAGTGCTCTCGGAATAAACGATACCTGAAGGACGTCCAAGTACAACGTCAGCAATATTAAAGCAATATTCAAAGGAACAGCTTGACTCGTTTCACTGAATGTGCATGTCAGAGAACAAAGGCAATTCCTTTATCTAGAGTAATTTATATGAAAAGCAGATACACATTATGAAACTATATCACATGCAGCAGAGATGCATGCAGAACTTCACCTGGTATACGGAGATCATGCACGTGTGGTAAAATGTCGGGGAGCCATATGCTCACTTACCGAATCAAACTTCGCTTCGGGTCGAGCAGATCGAGAAGTTTGTCGGCATAAACCTTCTTCGAGGCTGTAAAGAGAATCACCTCAAAACGGCGCGCGACGCGCTCCAGAAACTCACGGAAATGCGGACGAGTTCGAACATATACCTATCAACAATAACAAAAATCGACCCGAAAACAAATGGACGCTACATATAATACAAAACTGTGAGATTAAAAACACTACGGAAAAGGAATTTCATGGCAAGTTCAATTTCAAATTCTACATGTATCATTGAAATGTTTCATTTGGAGCAAACTTGTATGCATTGATAATTTATTTAACACCACATAGCGATGCTCTCAGGTACCTTATACTCGACGCCCTGAAAGAGTACGGGAAATGTGAAAGTGGCCCCTTCCAACTCCATTAGACTGCAGTGGACCAAAGTCTCGTCCTAAAAGCATATGATAAATATATGTTATTTTTGTATAGCTGAGCTATACTAGCACACATGAAAGAACAAATTTGATTTCGCCTGTGTTATGAAAGCCACTCGACCTGCTTTGAATTCGGACCATAATTACGGCCGTGGTTTTGCTGAAGCCGAAATGTCGGCAGAGTTTGATAATAGCGAAGATTGCAATAGAAAGAATATAATACTGTTTTCATTCACATTTGTTTTATGTTACCACATTCCAAAACATGACCCTTTTTAACATTCATCGATCGACTGATGTCTCTGTCTATGGATACCCCTGAGATTTTTCGTGTTTGATTATCAAATTTTTTTAAATATGTTGTTTTTATTCTGTTTACACACCAAATCAAGAACGAGCGAAAATTCCGGACTGGAGCGAGTCTTCAGTGGTAATGCTGGACAGCGCGCTCGCATCTCTGGAGTAAGGGGAGGTAAACTTCGGATAAAGGCATGCAGTTCATCTGTTGACGTTTGTTCCCACTGTGTCGACTGCTCTTCACACGTCGTCTGTTGTTCTTCCCACTGGGATGTTGTAGTTGTCCCATCTATTGTTATTCTTCGGTCGTACGGTGTCGTCTGCTGAGTCCACTGCATCGTCTGCTGGTCCCAATAAACACATGTGTCCCCATTTGCTGACCGGTTGCATGGTTTATTATAACCTATGTAAAGTGACGTGGCAGCTGACACCTGGTCCGGCTCACTGTTTGGCTTAGAAGCATAAAGTGATTCGTTGTTCTGCAAACAACGACAAATATCACCGAGATCTGTCTTGAAAATTTCTATAATATACATAATAATACTAAGTTATACTACATATATTTTCAGTGTCGAATTTCGAATACATCAAATCTAAGGATGTAAAAAACCTCTTCAATAAAAAGAACATCGGGTTAATATCAGAATACGTCTTGAACATTTTCCCGACCTAGTATTAAATCTAGAAACTGGATCGGTAACTTCTGAAAGGTACCGTATATAAATCATAGGAAGATGCTTTTCAATGTGTTGTTCATTGGCTTCCTTTTATGTACCTGGTCTGACTGTTGTCTAGGAGAATAGAAACGTTGCTGTAAGTGGTTCGACGCCGCGACAGAACAGATCAGATGATTACCCAAATGAAATTGACTAGCCCCCTGCATATTGGGTTGCTGCTGATAATTTTCAACGCTTTCTTCACCAGGGCCCACTATCAGACCTAAATCTTGGCTGACATATCCACTACTACACTGTAAGGATGATCCCGTTATCGAGGACGACGACTCGTTGTCGGGCTCCAAGTTAATGGAACCCGCTTCTTGGTGACGCAACGACGGTAGGTGCTTCAAGCAATCAGTCGCTTCAATGGACTCGACATGGCCGAGATCATTCTCAACGAGTATATCTGAGCCAGCATTGCCGTTGTCGGTTCCGCCGCAACACTCGATTAAAAGATTCTGAAAACCTAATTTGGCATCTGTAGCAGTGAAACAGAAATAGTGAGAAAGAAAAAAATTGTCATTTTCACACTTATCCCACATAATATCCAGTATATTATGCGTATTACGAAACTATTCCATTATTAATAGACACACAAATGGTGTATTCTTTAAATGAGAGTTACTTAGAATGTTTTTCAGTGTACTGCTCTGCCACACCACTATTTTACATTGATAAAAAAATTAGCTAACCTGACAATTCCAACTAGCTAGTACGATAATATTAATTAACTATCGCTCGTTGCATTTTCCTTCACTATATTTTAGTACGTGGTTACCTTCGTCGAAGATATGGTAGACACTGTGGTTGGGTGTCGCTGGCGAAAAAAACGCAGTCTCAGCTGATAGCGCCATTTCATTTTCGTTTTCGCCTTGATGTTGGGTATGATGGGAGGCGAAGTGTCGCTGTGAAACGTCGTCCTGCGATATCCTGTTTTCGTGTGCCTTTTCACGTGGCTGGTGGGCCACTTTGTCGATCTCCATCGACTGAGCATCGTGTTCATTCTGACCTCGTTGGTCCTGGTCTCGATCATCGGCGACATTTACACTAACTTCGACACAAGCGTTTTGCTCGTCCTCTACCACCCGCTGGTCTAGCTCCATCCCATGCATGTCACTGCTGGAACGGCGTTTGCTGTCGAGTTCGGGCGAGGGACTGCTCAAATTTGAAGAGGTAGTGATCGCTGGTGTTCGCGCCACACATCTAACGTCGCCTCCGTGATTATTATTTGCAGCCGGTGTACTCAATCGAAATGATGAAACGGCTTGGATAGGCTTGGTGGTATTTCGTGGACTACATTGAGGTTTCCTCTTGGCCAATTTTGGCGCAGATGCTTTAGATACGTGCCTCGATATTGTTACTGCCTGCTGTTGGAGTAGATTGCCGTACATGACTGATCCCGCCGTTGAACGTGTTATTCGCGCGTGATTCTGGCTAAGCCTTTGGTCCAGCTTGTTTTGTTGGCTGAACTGCGCGATTTCGTTGTTACCGCCCCGAGTCTGCTTGGACTGACTTGCAGCTACCGTTCGAAGCTTGGTGTCCTGTTGCTGTTGTGAATGCTGCCTCCTTTTGTTGGTGTCCAGTAGCGATTGTCCTGCTTTCTGCGAGGTTGTTGAACTATGTCTGTGGTACAAACTACGGGGTCGGGCCTGATACACCATGAGGGCCCCGGATGAACGGTTGTCACCGAACAAAGCGAGGGGGCTCTGAGACTGTGCTAGTTAGGGGGCTTCTACCACCCGTGGTGCTGATAACCAATCCTGACCCGCAACATATCTGCTCTCGCAACCTTAATTGTATGATGATCCCGTTAGCCATGAGAAAGACGACTGGAACGAAAAAAGTTGTTGCTTTTAGGTTAGAGTTTGCATAACGAGTCTTAATGAGACACGTTATATTCCGAATTCACCTACCAACTAACGTGACCCTTATTACTTATAAAAATTATATTATAGCTGACATAGACTATGTGAAACCAAGCTCAGTTGGACCAAAAGTCGAGCAAATTTTTTAATCCGATGTTCCATGATCATTTTGAACACATTGTAGCTAGCGATTTAAGTCATATTTTTTTTAAGTTAAAGGTAACAGCTCACATATTATATCTGGTTCATTTGTTTTTTTTTTGTTCTGTTAAGAGGCCAATGTGTCAATTTCGGCTATATACACTAACCTTAAAACCTGGATAGTTGTCATGGTAGCGTAAGACTTAAGCGACATTTTATAGCTGGGCACCCGTTAAATTCATACGTCTCCCTGTTCCTGATCTTCCGCTGGCACCTGTTTTACTTAACTTTTTTTGCTAATTTTTTTGAGGAGCATTACAACAGCTTTCATGCACTGCACTGTACACTTCTCAGGAATTAATAAATCAACTCGGATTACTGAGTGCCTTCATCGATTCACTTTGTCCATTTTAACCATCCAGATGGATTTTACCAATCACTGTAGCAGTTCTCCAGCTATAACATCTCGTTACAACCATACATATAGTAAAGTATATCTACAAAAAAGCGTTTTTAGTTCTATGAATCAGATTTCCCCACTAATCCCATGCACGCGCCCATACGAGAAGATTACATAGAAAAAATCAACGACCTACACATAACGAAATATTCCACAACTAAGCTAACGCCGACTTTGTCACCATTATCGTTAACTTCAGAGATGATTGTACCGTGACATTTCTACTATCGGACTCGCTTTATGTGTAACGATCTGCTGCCCCGTGACTTCCCTTAGGTTCTTGCATTGACATCGAGCATTGTCGAACTACAGTTACCTACTACGTAGATCCGTTCCCCCATATACCGTTGTGTATATATGTGCTATTATCTAGTTATCGGGTGGCAGCGACTGTGACTGTCGTTCCCGCTATTATAGATGTCATTATCCCTCTACATTCGGTCTATCGACCTTGACTAGCTGGAGCTCGGCTGTCGCTGTTAAACCGCCAGAGTCTGCGCAATCTCTACCGGTGCTTGCCCAAAAATACGCTGCCCCACCTCCGCTCGTTTGACGCAGCGTACATTCTCACTCTCACTCATAAGAAGCAGTGTGCCATATCATACGCTGTCACATTCAGACTGCTGCCCTTGTGGACGCTGCCCTTGCCAAAGTCAGCTTCACTCACCCTCAAAACCACCGCGGCGATCAGCACTACAGCGGCGACGGTTTGCGATCACGAACAGCTGGCCATCGTGTTGCCGCTAAACGGGGACAATATCTATTTCTTGCCTAGAATATTTACTGCGATGAATTGGGGAAAGGGTACAAAAACGATCAAGTAACATTTTTATTGTATTATTAATGTATCGAAGTGATATATTTTACACAGCGTTATAAGAAAAACTACACACCTCTATTTACTTTTGCACTGTCACATATTTGCTACTTTATTAAGTTATTGTCATTAGTTTCATCATAGGAAATTTTAGTTGCACGACGATTGACTTGGACACTAAGTTACTTAACTAATGAACGTTTGTAGAAAGTTGACTGATCATTTCGGGAAATGGTCGATCTCTCCATAATAATTTCATGCGATGTCTATTGCGTTGTACATGAAGAATAGCTGCTGTAAGAATTATTAAACTAACAATTAACAATGACGTCGTAGTCTAGGTCGCAGGTAGGTCAGCTCTTGCCGACTCACGTCCTACTTCGCCATGTTCAACCCAATTGAGTCTGATTTTACAAAGATTATGTCAAATCGCAACAACGGCGACAGAGCTCCAAATGCCACAACTGAAAACATCTTTAATAAAAGCATCAATATGATCTGTAGTGATTACGTGACGCAACGTAGATCGCCCACGCTAAACCGTTGGCAAATCGTAGCTGACTTGCCATCAAACTGACGAAGCCGCTGGCCTTGTCCGCTCGCTCTCCGTACTTTTAACGTCACCCAAAGTGTTATCAACCCTGTCTACAGCTCCTATTAAGAAAAACGCAATGGCGATGATGTAGCACACTGCTAAACAGACTATAAAAATCAACAGGAATTACATCAAAAACGTTTTAAATATTAAATTAACGTTACCCAGTAAATTCACATGTTCGAAGATTTTTTTTCGATTTTATTTTAGAACATTTACCAGCCCACATAGATATAACGTTGCGGCATATCGTCGAACCATAGAGACAAGTAGAAAACCGTTTACGATAGACGCAGATAAGGGACTGCTTTGTCTACATCCTCGCCAGTAATTTCAGTATCACGTAGTCACCAATCATTTAACACGTCCGTTAACGGAATATATATCTTTAGGATAATTTCGCGTGCTATGTATCGTATTTAGCTACATTTTGTTTAGGTGGAACAAATATGCAATCGATAACGTGAAGAAATCGCCCAGTGTTCGTGATATTAGAACAAGGCTGGTTTATAGAAGTATAATTAGTAGTATCCATTAAAAAAAGGATATATAGATACTTAACAAGGAACAGACACTGGCAATAGAGTTATTCTCATTTTTGAATGATATGAATATATATATATCTGTTTTTGTTCTGGTACTATTTAGCCGTCGTCCCTTGCTACTTTTTGGGGCGCGCCTATAGGATGCCTCTGTATTCGTCCGCTATTCCCCGACCGCGTTTGTCAATATGGAGATAGAAAACATTAAATAGCGCCATCAATTCGAAATTCTAACTAGTTACGGACGCGAACCGCATTACCATTATGCCTAATGGTCATCGCTATAGTTAGCAAACTATCGCCAGCAGGCACACTTAGCGCCGCAGATTGGCTGCTTGCGTCTGCTCGTTTGCCTAAGTCAGTGTGCATTCGAGGCAAAGACATTTTTCACGCTTGGACGCATCCACGCGCCGTTCGTGGCATGCACGCCACGGCCACAGGGACGTTCCTATCTCAGGCCCAAAATGACTCAAACAATATTTTAAACTCCTTGTCTGCTTATTCGCTGTGTCCTGTTTCCTCAGCCATGCAGTAACGCTTTACATCGTTTTGGCGCGTGCGGCTCAACGTCAAGTGCCAGAAAGGTACGAAACACCAAAAAGATGAATCACCAAGAACAGTGGATGCCAGGAGTAGCTTGAGCGGCTACTGTGATTGACGGACGACATCATAATCATGCCGCGTTTGTAAATTCGCGGATTAGACGTGCAGCAGCAGTAGCGTTGTTTGTAACACTTGCATTAATAACGAGCAGACTCTTTCTTATTATAGGAAGTGGCATTGACAGCCGTAATGTGAAATCGATAGTGTGTTCAAAGGATTCATTTTTGACCAACTGTTCAACTCTTACCGTATTAGACTATTCGTACTAATTAAATGTATAGCTATTGGAAAAATTTTTCTCTATGTATATTCGAAACCAAAAGTGTATAGCCGTTTTGCCATGAAATCGAGATCTACTGCACGATGTGTGTTTACTCAAAGCCATAGTCACATAGGTGGATTACGTTGTATCGAAGTATCGCCGCTGAGCTATACTTCACGGAGCAGATTCACCCACCTGAAGTAAAACGGATTATTTTTCACAAAGATACGATGCCGTCTATGACGCGAATTTTGATTGCAGCGAACAGTCTAAATTGATTATCTATTCAATCCTATGTTTGCTACTGTAGTAACCAGTCGCGGCAATCTGCACCTTTCAATGGTAGTAGCTATCACTGCACATACCTATAATGGTGCAGCGATGGTGCGTTTGTTTACTTGACTTCAGGACACACAGCGGTCTACGTTCGAGAGCGGATGTAGCCAAATTTCTTTGATGCTCGGACCCAGTCGTCTGAGGTAATACTCAACACCAAAACTCGAGGGCGTTCATGTATTTAGCTACTAACGATGAAGTATCCATGTACGACAATTTTTTTCTCCTAATCACCTACAGTTCTTCCGTTACGGTTCGCAGTTGACCCTTTCAGTATAGAGATTTGACTAGTCCTTTTACTATTATTATTATTATACCACTCTATCACAGGTTATTAACCGACCTAAGAAAAATAGTGGGAGCATTACCGCACGAACTGTAGACCGTTTGTCCTAGGGTTCATCGCTGCTGCTGCACTCTCCGCTGCCAGACGACCATCGACAGGCATGCGCCACCGAACGGTGCAACACGCGCTACCGACACTGTCAGGGTCAAAAGCTGTCCATCTAAGTATACTCTTAGTTTTCCTTCAGAGGTTTGTTTTTACGTCTTTCTAACCTTTCTCTCTCACGCTCTTTTTTCGGTCAGGCCGAGGGCAAAGCACGGGAAAGGAGGCTCGCTGCTGCGGGGCCATGTTTCTGTCCGTTTGTCTCGTTATATTCTGCCATTTATCTACCGTTGTTTTACCTTTCTTTTGTCTTCATTTTCCCTTCCTTTTATCTCCTTTTTTCCTCCTTCGTTTGGTACCTCAACTACGTACACAACAGTATCCGAAGCAGTCAAGTATTGTTGGAACAGTTGATGCCTTGCACTTGGGGCAACAGGAGCAGATAGTCAGGACGTAGTAACCAGAATTAGAACGTGAACGATACTCGGAGCTATATTTGTTAACTAAGCAAATCAAGTTGCAGAGCATGTTCGATCAGCAAAAGACACACGAAGGATTTTTAAACTCGGTGTCCTTCATGTTTTTGAGCTCCGGTCTTCTTCAATCGTTTCCTGCATACGAGTATATTTGGTCGCGTCAAATAATCCCATTCGAGTTGCCATGCTTAATAATAATTTCTGTACATTATATATATATATAGAACTGTTAATAATTTTTTGAGACTCGTTATAAGTCATAATTATATTACGCTGTATTTGTGGCCGAGTTCGCAGAAATTTGTCAAAACCCCATGCTGCGACAATAAATATGATGCGAAAAGCAAGTTCCCTACACTCATTTGTACCTAATGCGATTCTCTAAATTGTACATGCTTTTGCCTAGGGTCTACCCTGTTTGTTTTCGCTAGCCTTTTGACTACAGTTTGATCTGAGCGAGTTCCTGCGTAAGACACGGCACCCATACGATAATCGAACAACTCATATTGACATTCCTATCAGATAATCAGTATCAATAAACGTGGTAACAATAGGTTAGTGACCACGGCGGCTGCACATGAGTGGCTTCTGCCATCTCGTGTACGAAGTCGTCGACTTGTGGCCAGCAGTCGCATTACATACAATTGTGGCTGGAATAATAAGCCAAAAAAAATGCAGAGGGCTCTCGGGAGTCTCTGGTCACCTCTACACCAGAAGTATAGTATTACCTATTAGGAACAGCGGCAATAACAGAACTTCTTTAAAAGCCAGCGCTGAAAGCCGCGGGGACAGAGCGACGAGGAGTTTGCCGTATGGAACTCAACGTGCCAAAATATTTACCGACTGCTGAGCAGAACGACACCCATTCGTTTAATCCCGCTTTTATCAAGTTCTAATTGGCCGGCAGTAAATAGACTGCGCCGTTGTCTATGCCATACTATTTATTATTGTCTTTCCTGCTAAAGATTTGTGCATAGATGGAGGTAAAACTACTGAAGGGAGCCAGGGCAGAGTCTCAGCAAAATAAATCTATCCAATCGACAGCTTAGGAGGTAACGACGTAAGTTATAGTAGGCGGTACACGTTCCCGGCTGCGTAATCTCAAAAGACTTCCATCGTTACAGCAGTTAATATATAGAATCGGTTGTGTATTTTTTGAAATGTTAATTCGTAAGTAGTAAATCGTTAAGTGGCAGTTGACATTGAAGTGACAGTGGCGTCACGCTAGCTCATCAGCACCGGTGCATGGCCGGTCCAAAAATGCAGACAAACGGTAATCGTCACTTTTGCCAAAGCGCTTCCAAAGCTAGCACAAGTCAGTGCTCACTGCTGGTTGCCTTTCGCCCCTTTTTATCCGCTTACCACGCGTCTAAATCACGGCTCGCTATGCCAATGGCTTAGTAACTCCTTTTCGATTGTTCTACTGGGAAAGGAGCTAGCAGTACTTAGAACAATTTCTGTGCAGCGCTAGCGAACGGCCAGTATCCGCTAGTCGATCGGTCAGCCCATGATTCGGTGCCGCCGACGTTTCAGCGCTACCAAGGTAAAATAAAGCGAAGTTGAGAAAATCGCCCTCAGTAGTAGTAGAAGTAATAGCGCTAGTGAGAGTCGTAGTAGGTCAGCCGAGAGCAGATTTCCAGCATCGTGCAGACACACATCTACAAATAGCACCAGCTACTTTGTTCAGCGCCATTGGAACGATACCCGGCGCTGCCGACAGCGCCAACCACCGCGTCGACGGCCACTGAAGTAACAACACGGCCG